GGACGTCAGCTCTGACCCTGATTCCGTCCGAGAGATCTCAAGGACAGATAGCGCGGTACCCTAGGTCGCCCCAAGGTCCTTATCTGACTATTCACTATTGAGGTCCGCGTAGTGCGTCCCGGGCAGGTCCCGGTGGCCAATGCTAGGCCATGACGCGGGTGGAATTTACCCCGAAGTTATCCCTCCCCAGGGAACCGCTAGCCACACTAACCTTATGTTGTTTCCTCTTCCGATCACACCACCCACATCCCTCACAAAGATTCTGCAGATTGCTGCCCCTTGGACATGGGTTCTACTCCGCAGTGAGTCTACCATTGACCACTCGATCGTTACATCCGGGGCAGAGAGAGGGGGCAGGAGGGGGCGACACTGCGTACTTAAAAAAAAAAAAAAAAAAAAAAAAAAAAAAAAAAACGGCCGCCGTTAGGTTCTTGCGTGATGACACGTCGCCTGTAAGCGGCGGAATGGGAAGGTACGGCGAGGAGCGTGGCGCCTCTGGTCCCAGCTAGGACTTGCCGGACAGCGAGGCGCGCTACCCCTGCTACGGAGTATACGGGGTACAATTGCCAGAACCGACCTAGGGCACATACGTACCTGACTAGATACTATCCAGATAGTAGTATCTACCCCGTGTCTATTATTATAAGCAAAGCCACGGTCTCTACGGGGTACCGCTAGTCCAAGCTTCAAGATAGTTCTATATAGCTCAGGATAGCTCCTTAGGCCGGTAGAATATTAATGAGGATTGACCATCGCCAAGTGGTGCTCCTTCTAGTTCCTAGTCTACCTTAGTGAGGTACTAGTGTAGTGCGAAAAGCTTGGAGGGACTCGGGGAGCGAGACGGCGACTGCCAGTGCCTGCAGACCAAATCCAATCCCAATAAGATCCGGAATCACCCTGAGATAAGACATCTGTCTCTCCCGTCGCTAAATCAAGCCATGGCATTCCTTTCCCCTGAGTAGTGGTGCAATCAAGCGAGACAATAATTCCTCCATGTGCAGATACTAGATAGTACGGAATACTCGCATGGTAAACACGGGGTTTACATACATATACAATTTATTAATATTAATTAAAATTCGGCGCCCCTCTTTTATTTTACCTATTTTTTCCTTTCCCCCCTCTCCTCTCATTCCTTTCAAGATCGTCGTCATAGCTCGAGGGGCTAGAACTAGGTACTGCTGGTTGCCAATAATGTCGATGATGCAACGACCGACCCCTTTCACATGCTATCTGCAGGTTTAGTTTAAAGTAGTGATTATATTTCTCTGCACGGCATATGTAGATGGTAAATGAAGTAGTACATATTCCGTGTGCTTACTCAAATTGTTGCCCTGCCATTGAACACACACGCGCCGCCCTTCCCGTCCTACTTACTGTGTTGAGAGTGGATGTCGGTGTTTCCCCAGACCGCCAGGAAGGCGAGGCAACAATAACCACCGCCATCACCACAACAACAACAACTACTACTACAACAGGGGATAAGCAAGTACCCAACTTGACCCTTGGATATCATTAATCATTCCATATCGCCCCCTCAGGGTAGCCAATATCTACAAAGATAATAGATAAATAGCCACTAATACTCCGTAATAAGCGCGAAGAAACAACGAAATAAAATATAAAAAAAGGGACCGCACCACCCCAGAAACAGAAAATAATCGAATTTCAATTTTAAAAAACCAACAACGGAAGATGGCCGGGATTGCGTCATGGAGATGATTTGCAGCTAATCCAGGAGTCGAGACATGGGCCTGCCTTAGTGGCGGCGCACTGCCGCGTTTCTAGATGACAATCTCCCGCGTCTGGAGGCACTGGATCAGGCAGTTGACTTGCCTAGTTGAGAACGCCTAGCCACAATACGGACAAGGGAAAGGACCGGAGATCCGGTGAAGCTTGGGTTAGCGTATTAGATAATATCGGGTTCTAATCTACAGAGGGTTGCTTATTTTTTTCATATGGAGTTATCATATCATATCATGGGTTTGGGGTTATCACGGTGTGTTGTTGTTGCTGTTACTGTTTATTATTGATGGAGTTATGGCCTTATGGTCAGTCAGCTTCGGATCAGCTCAGCCAGACCAGCCCAGCCCAGCTCACTTGCCACGTCAGGTACTTACTACATCCTGTCGCTTTGTCGGGGCGTGGTGATGGTGATTGTTGTTATTGAGGTCGGTCCCTCTTTTTTTTTTTTTTTTTTTTTTTTGTTGGTACACATACTGGGTCCATTGGGGCTTTCTGTTTACTCTACCAGCGATATGTCAAACAATGGGTACCATTGAAGAGATTTCGTGTTCTCCGTAAGAAAAAAAAAACAACAACCAAGGCACCATCCTGAATCCAGACATTTTACGAACAAGTTCCGGGACAAAACCTGCAAGAATGAGACGGTGATCGGATGATTTCGGGATGATTCCGGGTCCTGTTCCCCTCTGGGGGGCGGTTTGCGACTAACGGGGCTGGCTGGGTAGTTTATCAGGGCGGATTGCGGAGAAATTTCTTACCTAACCTGTCCCCTCCTTTCTCTCTCCAGATGGGCCGGAGCCACGCGCTCCCCCGAAATGGTACCTCGGTGAAGGTATCGCCTGTATCTACTTCCCCCTTGTGACAAGACTGACGACCACCCCCCCCTTTCCCTGGTATCTAGATACGGAGGTCCTATCTAGTCGATCTACTAGACGAAAATTTCCCCCCTTCCCCCTCTCTTTGGCCTTTGGCCTTCCCCTCCCCTCTCCCCGGCTGAGGCAATTTTTGCATCGGCATGTCCGTCCCGAGTGCTGGCTCTGCCGAGTCTGTCCCGAATCCCGTGGTGGTCTGAGCCGTCTTGACTGGCGGCGGCCTCGCTCAGTCTCCCAGCCCTGATTTCTGGGGACCCGGACGGAGTACTCTCGCCCTAGGCTGGTTACTGTTCCAGGTAATCATGTAACTATTCTGGAGCCGTTGATGTGGCCAATTTGCCAGTAGGGTCATTGCTCTTCCCTCCGTACCTCGGCATTTTTCCCTCTTTTCTTTTCGGTAGAATATTTGCCCTGTTCTACGGAGTAAGCATTGCTTATCGCACGTTAAGGTTTTACTTTCAATATAGCTTCGATTTTTTTTTTCCTTTTCGCCCCATGCTCCTTCGTATAGTTTGTCATCTTGAGTCTTTCTCTCCTTATTTTTTTCGTTGATGGGTCTCAATGGCGGTGAGCAGAATTTTCAGTATCCATCTTGATTGACTCAACGGAAGGATCGTGAGATGTGTGCCCAACCAGTACATAGGTAGTAGTAATAATATTGCGACGGAACCCCCGTGATCCAGCCATCATGTTTATGCCGCTATTTTGTACCATTTGTGCGATGGTGGATCCTCCATCAGACCACCCCCATATCTACCTACTTATTCTCACTAGTACTAGTCAAACTAAACTTACATCATCTAGGTTCCGCTGATATAGTTAACTAAGCGATACATATAACTAAGTTAGTACACGTGATAAGTACTAGTTAGGGGGGGGGGGTGGCCGTTACTCCGGACGGAGTCGAAACCCTGACATACCCCAGGCAGCTGGAGAGAGACACAGGGACACCAAATCCCGAGGCCGGTCCTCCCTGCTTGGGGTGATAAACAATATTCCGTGCAACTGATAGGCGGAAGATTTTTAGTCCACCAAGCAACCGTCCCATCCAGTTCCTGTCAATGGCACTAAATTTACCCTCATCCCATCATGGGTTTCAGGGTGCTTTGCTCATTTCGGCATATCCGAAGACGTGCCGGCGCCTTTTCTTTTCGTTCGAGCAAAAAAAAAGCTTACCTACCACACCTAGATTAGGTGCCTATCTATCTAGGTACTACTAACGGGCCAACCGACAGCCAGCTGAGGTGGTGCTCATAAGTGCTCAGCTATGGTGTGCCGTCCGTGTGAGATGATAATAATACGGGCAGCAGGCACCCGCATAGCCCATGTAGTCGCGATGATGCCATCCAATTGGGTGCTGGGATAATTGTCTCGAACGACCGAGACTCTCCATGGCGCGGCGGCATAAGCATGGAACCGTTCTAGTCGGCAGCCTTACTCAGGGGTACAGTCCTGTAACGGGCGCCCTTTGCTGAGTTGCTCACGCCTCGCTGGCGCTCTGACTACGCCCATGACGTCGGGTTGTATAGTAGTAGCAGCCTACTTAGTAGACATCTCTCCTGCCTTGCTGGGCTAGGACCCTGTGGTGTGAGGAGGGGTCGAGATAACGGAACTGCAACCACCAACCAATCTTTTCCGGCTTCCCTTTGGTCTGGACCATAGCAGGGTTGTGCAATGCTGCATGGGAGGGGCTTCAGGTGTTCGGATTAGGAAGCAGCCTTGATGGTTGATGGGTTGGTTAATATCGCAGAGTGATTATGGGGGAATGCTCTCCCCTCGGATCAACGCTACTTGGAATGGGGAGGTACTACTATAGTACCCCTCCATAATTTATATATCTACACAGCGCGTAATGGGGGGATATACTGAAGTTAGTATATCAGGTATTGATTGGCTTGATAGCATGGGCCACGGTCATCATTGCCAACGGGTCAACAGGGTATTCAGAGTGAAGCTGTCGTAGTTTCGAGAGTGAATCCAAAGCGAACATGTGACTTCGGTGTAACCTTTTTGGGGCTGTTGTTTCTCGGGTTCCAAACTTAACCTCCGGGGGAGTTATAAGCTCCTTGAACTCGCCGAGTACATCGACAAGGATACCCACGAGCATTCGGAACCTGCGTGTGACGAGTTGGAGACCCAGCTCGTGTAGCCTGCTGCCAACCCACCATGGCTACATTCTCCCCTCCACACCCCGGAGACTAGTCCGAGGGGATGATGGGTGACTAACCGACCAACCCCCCTGGACATCATGATAATCTCTTCAGCTGAAGGCAACAAACGTGGTTTTACTTATGACCTGTCAGCTCTCTGATGTGGCATATCTCAGTCAAACTGGACCTGTCTCTGCCTCCTCAACAAGCACTTCTCGCTCTTTTCCCTCCTTCGCGCCCGCGAAGTATACTCGGCAATATTGCCTGATGCGGTCGCGATGATGTCGCGCCTGGATATTCTGCCGCGCCTGGCCGCCTCCCGTCGGCCGAAGCAAAAGTTCATTCAGGCCTGCTTTTCTACATGACAGTCCGTCTTGCGTCGTCAGTCAGTTGGGTCAGCAATTGCCTGTGGCTATTCAGTCCTTGTGAGCTTGATTGTTGGGGGCTGCGACTGCCCCGGCTGCCCTTTTCCCACCACCCTCTCCTTTTCTTCTTTCTCTGTCTGCCATGGCTCCCCCGCGGCAACGGACGACAGCCGTCCAGGACGACTCTCGTTCTGAAGGCTCTAGCACAGCAAGAGAGCATAAAACGACGGCTGTCAAAGCTCGCAAAGGTGCGGGCGGCTCACTGGCCGTGGCTGCTATGAGCAGCCGCGAGGCAAAAGTTTCTGGGAATCTTGCGAACGTCACCAGCGCCCCGGCTGGAGGCGAACAGGACAATTCACCAAAGGTACGTTGTAATCGGGTATCATTTGCTATTTGCCGATCGAACCTTGTCCTTTCTGTATCATTATCTTCGTTTGGGTCCTGACATGGATTGGATGTAGATCCCCTGGTCCGAAATGCCCCTCGATCTCCTCCACTCCTACCGGCACGCCTACAAATTGTCTACTCCAAGCGCCTTCTCCAGCGAATACGCCCACCTGCTCCTCGGTCGAGGAATTGGTCTCCGATCGCCGACAGCTATCGCCGCCCAGCGAGCTCATCAATCCCGTCAGGATCAGATGACGAACGGCTCCCAGTCGAGCGCGTCCACATCCCGAAAAGCTTTGCACAACCACTCCTCCGCCCCCAATGGCGTCAGCACAAATCACAAAGACCGCCGTCCACACAAAGGACCGGATACAATTGATGGCAAGAGTGCACTGCACCATATCATCGGCCAGGACAGGGTGTGCAAGAACCAGCTTGCCGTGACCGTCCGCAAACATTTCAACAGTGCCGGTCTTGCAGAACAGGAAGCCATTGCACGGTTTCTGTACAAGGTCCGGGAAGAGGGAAGAGGGCGACACTTTCGTCTTCGATTCCAGCCTTAATTCCTACACCACCTACCTCATTTCCTTTCTTCCCTCCATTCAACCCGGAAGAATCCTCCCGGACGTGCGGATAGCTCTCTCGGCACCACCTCGGCTCCTAGTTGGCACCTAGCCCTCTACACGATTCGCTTCGGGTGTGAATTCTCCCGGGAGCCTTACACTTTTCTAATATCGTCATTCTTCTCGCTCTCCCTTTTGGTCACCAGACATCTCCGTTGTTTGACCTTTTCATGATACCCATTGGTGCTATTCAATTTCCTTTGTTCTTCTGGTCTGTCCACACGGGACTACGTTCCCATGCTGTGATTGAATTCTATGTCCTTCCAACGTCTTCCGCTGTGATTACCTCCTATATACGCGACTTGGTTTAGACCCTTGTCAATCTCAAATCTTCTCCCATCTCCTTCCTGCTCATATGAACACATGTATATTACTCTGGAAATGGGATATATTATTGGTCTCTCTGCATTCTGTCCCTTTGGTTATAGAGACAGCCCAATGGCAGTTCACGCCAGCCAAACCAACCATCTACTCGTCGAATATTGTATGTCTATCTTACAAAGTGATGAGTACCCAAGTAAATTATAAAACACAGACCATAGTACCACACCATACCACCCATACCTCATCCAACTGCATTTTCATTTTCTCTCTCTCCCATCTTCCATCTCATTATATACATTTCACTCATTCACATCCACCTGCCTTCCATATTCCACCAAAAAACCACATAACAGCACAGCAGCACACGAAAAGGAGAAGAGCTTGACAAGAACGAAAATTCACCAGGTAGATCGATCGAAAGAACAGAGCAGCGAGATAATTTCGGAAAGGTAGAAATATAAAGAGAGAAAGGAAGGAGTAAGGAAGTGAACAACTGTGGAAAAAACGCCAAAATGCTTAACAATCCATTCCATAAGTCTATCATACTTTCATCATGACCCGTCCTTACATTCCCATATCGTCCGGACATGGATTATTTCCATGCGTTAAGGCCCGCCCAGGGGTCGTTGGAGGTGGAGGTGGCCGATTGGCTTTGAGATTGTGAGGGAGCCTTGTGGTGCTGGCTCGAGCCGTAGGATCTGTTTTGCGCATAGCCACCAGGACCGGATGGGTATGGGCCCGTAGAAGAGGGATAGGTTGTCTGCTGGGGGCGGGGCGGCGGAGGGGGCGGGACGTAGCCCTGGGGCATGAAGGAGGATGGAGCGGCTGGCGGAGTAGGGCCGGCGTAGCTGAATGGGGTTGGGGTGGACGAGTAGAATTGTTGGTTCGGCGGAGGGGAAACGGAGGGAGGAACGGGGTAGGCCATTGGGTTGTAGCCCTCTGAAAGAGGCGCCGCGGCGCCTTGCTGGAATGGCTGCCCCGGGACGTAGGAGACGCCCGTTCCGTGGCCCATATACCGCCCATAGGGGGCGGGGGAATGCGACATGGGGATGCCGTGCGACTGTCCCGAGATATTGGGAGGGAAGCGCGGTGACATCTTCGGCGAAGATATGACGGGGTTGGGATATGCGGGCGTCTGGATGGCAGGAGGAGGGGACTTGGCCTTGGACGGAGCGGCCGAGGCGGAGGGTGGAGCTGGCGACGTCTTGGGTTCCGTAGTCAAGCGCTCCATGAGTTGCTGCATCCTCTCCCGGTCATAGTCTCCCTGCTCGGTGCCACTGCTTACTTTATCCCGCTCGATTAGGCCCAGCCGCTGTGCGCCTTCGGATCGGCGGTTGTTGATGAAAGACTCGACGTTCTTCTTCAGACTGTCCACGGTCTCGCCCATCTCCCTGTAGAAGGTCTGGGCCTGCACGGTTCCGGATAGTAGGCCATTGAATGCATCGTATATCTTCTTGTATCGAGACATCACCGTGTTGCGTTGGCGGGTGATCGTCTCATACTTCGATTGTTCAGCACGCACTCGCTTGTCCTGCAGCAAGTCACCGTATATTTTCGTAAGTTCTTTCATCAGCGACGCCTGTTTATGGTTGGCCTGGAGGAGTCGGTTCTGATGCGGACGAAATTTCTCTAGCTCCGCTTCAAAAAGTTGACTTTCCTGCCCGGCGATGGTTTTCTTGTTGAGTATCAGGACATTGGAGATGTCATCGGTGTGAACCTGATAGTAGGACGTTAGTCTCGCGCGACATATGGTTCAGGAAAATATAATGCACTTACCTTCTCTTTGAGGTCTTTCAAGACCTGAGCTCGTTCTCTCTTGATCAGGTTCAATTTCTTCAGAATGGACTCGACTCTAGCGATTTGCTCAGCCACCGAGGTGCCGCCCTCATCGAAGACATCATCGATCAAACTTCCTTCTGCCGAAGACGAGTATGGACTACCAAGTCCATTTTTACCCTTGCCATGCTTGGAGCCAGCTTTGATCATGGCGCGCTGGAAGAGGACTTCGGCCTCGTCTGTTTCCCCGGCAGATCGCATTTCATCGAAGTCTGCCTCGTACTGCCGTAGGGTTGACAGAAGCTGAGAATCGCTGGCACTCGCTTCATTGATGGTATCCCGATATGTTCGGATATCGCCATGTAGTGTAGTGTTCAGCATGGCGCTGGGTTGTTGGCTCCACTCCACCCCGTATTTGGAACGCATCTTCTCGCATACGCTTTCCTCTAAGTCCAATTGCTTAGAACATTGGTCTAGTTGCGCCAAGATCTCTGCCTTGCGATCCTGTAGGCCATCAAAGGCCTTGATGAAAGGTTGATGGCCCCCAAGCTCCTGACACCATCGTCGAAACTCGTCATCCACGGTCATCTCCTGGTCCATTCCGCCTTTGAGAATATTCAAACTACCGGGAAGTTTTAGGTAATCAAGACTGGCCGCCATTTCTCCGTTTGCCGTCTCGACTTTCTCTGTTTCTGCTCGGATCAGCTTGGCCTTTTCTTCGTCGTAGAGACTGGCCGTTTCCGTGACGGACATGGGCACGAGTTTCTGGAAGATGTCCGGGCCGATGATACGTTGAATATCTTGGCCTTGGTAGAGCTCGCTAACAGGAATGGCCTTTGCTGCGGGCAGCTTCGAAACGGCCGACAAACCTGCCTCGCTCGGAATGGGCTGGTGGTAGATAAAGTCGTTGTCTTTCTTGAATACGGTGAGCTTGGCCTGGACGTTCGCAAGGTGATACTTGATCATATCGAGGAGATTGGTGCCCGATTCGGAGCTCAAATTGGCATTGGGAGAGACAGACGATGGGAATGACTTGGCCCACCCTAGTGCTGCTGTCGAATTCTTCTCTGCAAGCTGCAGCCGGGCAATAGCCACGCCGTGCGAACCAGTCTCACTGTCGGCTAGGGCCTGGTAGTAGGACGCCACAGAGGCCATGTGCCCCGCCTTAGCCTGCACAACAATTGTCCACACCTTATCAAAGACACCCTTAGCGAACTCTTGCATCCCTTCGGCAGCCTGGGAGTATAGATAAGCAGATTGACTGGCGAGTTTCGCTAGCAATCCAGCTTTCTTATTGTCCGCAATTTGTTTCTCTAGGAATACTTCTTGACCTTGGGCAAGAGTGATGTTTATCAGGGCCTTGACGGTTTCCCGGTTCAAGTCGGTTGATGGCGCGTGGAGGAAGTTCTCGTTGATATACGTGAACATGCCAGCAGATGCCTGGAAGGAGTGATAAGCGGTTTTGAGACCGGTGTCTTCAGCGCGATTTTGGTTTGCGGCATGGCATGAAAGCACGGCGGAGATGTTAAAGATGATCGATGCTTTCTCGAATGCCAAAGAATATTGTGAGGTTGACTTTTGTGTAAAGGCGTCATACCTATGTGGCATTGGGTCGTTAGCGGACCAACCGGTAGCAGGAACCAGAAAATGAAAGGGGGTGTTACCAAGTGAAGGAGATCTTGATATGATTTTCATCCACGGGAAACCTCAGATCCAAGAGCTCCAGCTGTCCGTAATACCGATATAACAGGTCGCGCCCTGTCGCACTATCCTTCCCTGCGCCCCTCATGTCCTGGCGCAAGCGGTTGAGGGTGGCGCATTCTGAGCCGTACCGTTCGGGGTCTTCGCCGTAACTCTGACGAATGTAGTCCTTGAGGGGCCGAATCCAGTCGATTTCGTTGGTCTGCTTAAGCGGACATGAGATCATGGGCGATTGAACCATCTTGATGCTCGGGAGGAGCGGGGAGCTCCCATCCAAAGGCGGAGAGACAGCGGGCCCGATGTTAGAGCAGTAGGAGCAAGAGCAGGTAGGCAGGTAAGGTCGAAGTCGCCGTGAGGAGGGGAAGGTTTTCGGAATGGAACTGTGGGGTAACGAAGGTAGATAGGCGATGCTTAGTCGTCGTCCCTGCGAGAATTGCGGTGGCAGTTGGTAGGGGTCGATAGATAGATTAGTCGCAGTTCACTAACGAGTCTAGTCGTCCCCAAGGCAGCCTAACCGTAGTTCCGTCGTTAGCTCGACGATGATGACGGAAGTGGGGAGGCAGCAGCAGCAGAGGGGGGAGGGATAATTCCAAGTGGTGTGGTCGCTGGAAGCAGCACAGCCTACCTGAAGGAGATTTAAGGAGGGACAGATCAGCGGATTTCCAGCTGAGTGGCAGGATTGGGCAGAAAGGAGTGGTGGTTGACTGATGGGGGGGCGGAATTGTGATGAGGATGATGGGGAGGAGGCGTTGTGATGGGCGGATGGTAACCGCCGGCCGTGACGGAAAGGCAGCAAAATGGCATGCCTGGCGGGAAAGCTTCGAGGCAATCTGACTGTCACAAACTTAAATTCTGCCCACAATACGTATCTAATAATCAATAATTAATAATAGTAGAAGTAGAGATGAGATGTCTTGAGCGCTAACTCTAATCGTACACTACATACATACATACACACATACATCACTTTCTCCAAACAAACAACGTCAACAATTGAACGGATACAGGCGAATGGAATCATCCCAACATGCTGAATGGCACAAGAACCCCCAATCTCGCCGGCGCTATGATATTGTCCGCAATAATTACACAGTAAGAAACGAAGCTCCCCCGAAGTAGTATCCAAGATTCCGATTATACATGTCGTGACTCCGTTTACTTGGAGCCGGACTTCTTCTCCCCGCCAGTCTTTTTGGCGTCCCCAGTGTCTTTCTTGCTTGATTCGCTGGTCGAGCCCTCTGATTCTGAGTGTTTCGTGTGGTTCATGAGCTTGTGCCAGGCCGATTTGAGGAATCCCTCATTCTTGGAGGAGTCTGAGGTGGCGTTGGACTCGGGGGGAGAGCTGCTTCTTCGTCAGAAACCCTATCAGCGTAGATAAAGCCAGGTGGGGTCTATACTCACCCATCCTTCGGGATATCCATAATGCGCCTGGCCGTCTTGTCACCCATTTCATCCGCAAGGACCTCAAGGATCGTCCGCTGGTTGCCGGTCAAATACTTCGGCATGGCAACCTTAAACTCCACCTTCAAGTCACCCGTAGGGGTGAATGCCCTAGAGCGGCCACTGAGCTTCTTCATACCCATGCCAGTGAGTGTAATACGGTCGCCGGTGCCGGTGCCAGTGCCAACCTTGACCTTGACCTCGCCATCCAATGTCGGGACCGTCACTTCACCGCCAAGCAGGGCAGTGGTGAGGGGGATAGAAGCCGTGTAAAGAATATCGGAGCCGGAACGGCTAAACCGGTGGTCGGGAGAAACTCGGATGGAGACGTACAGGTCACCTCGCTGCGTACGGGAGCCTGGGGCTGCCGCGGTGCCCATGGGAGGGGCGTCGCCTTCACCGGTCACTCTCAGACGCATGCCGTCCTCGACACCACCAGGGATATCGACCTGAACGGTCTTCCGATCCCTGACCACGCCGTTTCCTTTACATGAGCCACACTCAGATCCCCGGGGCACTGACATTCCTGCTCCTCCACAGGCATCGCAGGTGGCTGCGACCTGGAATCCTCCCTGCATCATGTGTACTCGGGTGCCGGAACCGTTGCACTGACGGCACTGAGATCGTTTGGCGCCCTTCTTCAGTCCATCACCGTCACAGGTGCCACATTCTTTCAATGGGGTGATGACAATATCCTTTGATGTACCCTTCGCAGCTTCCATGAACGAAATGCTGGTCTGGACCTCAATATCTTCGCCCACCAAGATCTCCTGGAACGGGCTTCGGCGGCCCCGGCCAGAACGGCGGGCACCCCCTGTGAAAGCTCCGAAAAGATCTTCAAAATTGATATCTGCCGAAAATCCTCCGGGGAAGCCACCCCCGAAACCACCCCCGAAGCCATGGAAACCTCCAGCACCAGCGAAAGGGTTACCGCCACTGGGATCGAAGCCGCCATTTTGGTCGAAGGCAGCCGAGCCAAACCGGTCGTAATTCTCGCGCTTCTTCGTATCAGAAAGAACTTCGTAGGCCGATTGGGCTTCTGCGAACTTTTCCTTGGCGCCGGGGTCCTTGTTGGTATCCGGGTGATATTTCTTGGCCATTCCATAGTAGGCTTTCTTGATGTCCGCCCCAGAGGCGCCTTTGTCGACTCCTAGAACTTTATACGGGTCAGAAATGGCCCCACGGGGAGCGGTCGTATGGAAAACCTGTGGACAGGAAAGGAAACTCAGTCACAGCCCGGACATAACTCCACGGAGGTTGCAGATAGCACCTACCCTTGACGAAAGGAATGAGTTATGCTTGCCCCGAACACCATCTCGCAAGCGCTGACTGGTCGAAGGGGTAGTTGACACATGATAGGATCGAACCGGGGTGGCCGATCGCACACTGGCCGCCGGGCTCTGCTTGGAGCATTGTCGCGAGGTCCGCAGTAAACGAGCGGGAAGGGCCGCGGCTTTGGGCATGGCGGCGGAAGTAGCGCTCATCGTGAGAAGCCAAGGAGCATTCAACGGGCGAAAGAGGGACAGCGAGAGGGAATGAGGGGACTGGTAGCGAAGCGAGATTGTAAACCAACGAAGCTGATTTGAGCAGAAGTCGGCGACCTTTTAGTTCAATGACCTCGACCGCCTCCTGATGGGGAAGACGCTTGGAAGCTTCGAGTCGCTCGGCTCAAAAAAGTTTCCCGACCGGAATAACAATCTTCCGCGGCAGCGATGATGAAAGCCTGCTTCGGTAATCAAGCACTGGACCGACCTGACCGATTGACTGACCTGCCCCGACCTCGTTCATCCCATTGATCCCCAGCCTTTCCTTCGGTCTCGTTTGGAGCTCCCTTTCAGTAAGCCCTCGTGCTACTGCCTTGTATTCTATTTCTTGTCCCTCCTTCTTCCCCCCTCTACTCATCCTTTTGCCGCCTCGTTGCGTCCACATCTACATTAGTAACTACTAGCATGCTCCGCGGCCAGACTCTCCCCTGGAGAGCCGCGCTCCACCAAACCTCGCGTCCTTTTATCCCTCGGCCTCTACTTGCTCCTTCTAAATATAATGTCACTGCTCGATCGATACTAAATTCTTCGCGACTTCGCCGCCCTCTCCCGTCTTCTACTCGCACCTTCTCCTCGAGCTCCATCCGGAGGCGGGAAAAGCCCCCACCTGGTGACGAAAAGGACGACCCTGCCCAGAAAGAGCAGAGAGACGCGAACGAGGATAAGGATGTTGAGCGAGCCCCAGATGCCCGACGCAAGGCCGCCGATTCCTCTAGCAAGCATGGATCGTCGCATGAACCCGGAGCTCCGACATCGGGCTTTGCACGGCGGAAGGAGAAGGCGGGCGGGGACAAGGAGCAACGTGGCTTGGAGGAAGACTCGAAGAAGGATGGCCATGCAGTAGAAGGCAAGGGGAGCTCATCCGATACTCCATCCCCTATACCTGTCAGTGGTGGTTCGGATTCGAGGCCTAGTGGCGCGAATAATGGTGGCAACGAGGATGGCGGAAAGAAGGGAAAGAAGGGCTCCGGCGAGAAGGCCTTGCAGAAACCATCTGTCCCCGAAGTCTATCCTCAGGTGATGGCGATTCCCATCGCCAAGCGACCGTTGTTCCCGGGATTTTACAAAGCAATTACCATCCGAGACCCCAATGTGGCTGCTGCCATCCAAGACATGATGAAGCGGGGGCAACCATACGTGGGTGCTTTTCTTTTTAAGGATGAGAACGCAGATGGCGACGTGATTGAAAATCTGGATGATGTTTATGACGTCGGTGTCTTCGCCCAAATTACTGCTGCTTACCCTCTTCGGGGCGAAGCGAGTGGTGTGACGGCTGTTCTTTATCCCCATCGTCGCATCAAGGTCTCTTCATTGCTTCCGCCTAGTGACCCTGCCAAGGCTGGTGCGACCGATGACAAGGCAGCTGAGCGTCGTGGGGATGTTGTCGCTAGCTTCGAGGAGGGCACTGCAGAGCTCGCCCCCAAGGACCACTACGAGCCCACCTCCTTCTTGCGCAAGTACCCCGTCAGCTTGGTCAATGTGGAGAACCTGACGGAGGAGCCGTACGATAAAAAGAGTGCCATCATCCGCGCGGTCACCAGTGAGATCGTCAACGTTTGCAAGGAGATCGCTAGCCTGAACCCTTTGTTCCGCGACCAGATTTCCGCCTTCTACACCGATCAGTTCCCCGGAAACCTAAGTGACGAGCCTGCCAAGCTGGCTGATTTCGCGGCCGCTGTGTCTGCAGGCGAACTCAATGAAATGCAGGAGGTCTTGGAGTTGATGAACATTGAAGAGCGACTCCCCAAGGCTTTGGTGGTGTTGAAAAAGGAGCTCATGAATGCGCAGCTTCAATCCAAGATCTCGAAAGACGTGGAGGCTAAGATTCAGAAGCGGCAGCGTGAATATTGGCTAATGGAGCAGATGAAAGGCATCAAAAGAGAGCTGGGCATTGAGTCCGATGGCAAAGATAAGCTGGTGGAGAAGTTCAAGGAAAAGTCGGAGAAGCTTGCTATGCCCGACGCCGTCAAGAAAGTGTTTGACGAGGAACTCAATAAGCTGGCCCACCTAGAGCCCGCTGCCTCGGAATTCAATGTTACACGCAACTACCTGGACTGGCTGACTCAGATCCCTTGGGGACAGAAGAGTGTGGAGAACTTCGGTATTCAGCATGCGGTGAAAGTTCTGGATGAAGACCATTATGGCCTCAAGGATGTCAAGGACCGTATTCTGGAATTTATCGCCGTGGGTAAACTGCGCGGCACCGTGGAAGGGAAGATTCTCTGCCTGGTCGGACCGCCTGGTGTTGGAAAGACCAGTATCGGAAAGTCTATTGCACGGGCCCTGAACCGACAGTACTATCGGTTCTCAGTTGGTGGCTTGACCGATGTTGCCGAGATCAAGGGCCACCGTAGGACCTACGTGGGCGCTCTTCCTGGACGCATCATCCAGGCCCTGAAAAAATGCCAGACTGAAAACCCTCTCATTTTGATCGACGAAATTGACAAGATCGGCCGTGGTCATCAGGGAGACCCGTCGTCTGCGCTGCTCGAGTTGCTTGATCCCGAGCAGAACTCATCGTTCTTGGATCATTACATGGATGTTCCTGTCGATTTGTCCAAGGTTCTCTTCGTTTGCACGGCAAACGTAACTGATACCATCCCTCGGCCGCTGCTTGATCGCATGGAGCTTATCGAACTGTCTGGCTATGTTGCCGATGAGAAGATGGCTATTGCTCAACGGTATCTTGCGCCTGCTGCCCGGGAACTCACGGGTCTCAAGGAAGTTGATGTTACCCTGACGGAGGAAGCCGTTGAGGAGCTCATCAAGTCCTACTGCCGTGAAAGTGGCGTTCGCAACCTAAAGAAGCAGATCGAGAAGGTCTATCGAAAGGCGGCATACAAAATCGTCCGGGACCTCGGAGAGGATGTTCTTGCAGAAGAGAAGGCTCTGACGGTTGAGGGCAAGGCTGCCCAGGAGGAGTCGCAGAAAGAGACCGAGTCTACCGGATCCGTGAACTCGCCTGTGGATCCTGAAAAGTCCACAACAGAAACGCCTCGCGTTGCGTTGACGGTTCCTGATAGTGTGCAGCTCAGCATCGGCAAAGACAGTCTCACCGACTACGTTGGACCTCCCATTTTCACGGCAGACCGGCTGTACGACACCTTCCCGCCTGGTGTGACCATGGGACTCGCTTGGACTAGCATGGGAGGTGCTGCTTTGTACGTGGAGTCGATCCTGGAGAATGCCTTGTCTCCCAAATCCCGACCGGGCATTGATATCACCGGTAACCTGCAAACCGTGATGAAGGAATCGAGCCACATCGCCTACTCGTTTGCCAAGTCGGTCATGGCGAAGCAGTTCCCCGAGAACCGATTCTTCGAGAAGGCTAAGCTGCACATGCATTGCCCAGAAGGCGCTGTACCCAAAGATGGTCCATCTGCAGGTATCACCATGGCAACGTCTTTGCTTTCCCTGGCTCTGAACCATCCTCTCGATCCCACCATCGCCATGACCGGAGAATTGACCGTGACCGGCAAGGTATTGCGCATTGGAGGCTTGCGGGAGAAGACGGTGGCCGCTCGCCGCGCCGGTGCTAAGAAGATCATATTCCCCGCCGACAATATGTCTGATTGGCTGGAGTTGCCCGAGGTAAGTTTTGATTTGCCATCTAGCTGTGTCTGATGGAGCTAACTTTCATCGATAGAACATCAAGAAGGGCATCGAGGGACATGCAGTAGGCTGGTACTCCGAGGTGTTTGATATCCTCTTTGCCGACCTGGACAAGGGCGATGCCAACCACGTCTGGCAGAAGCAGCTGGCCGACAAGCCTTCGAAGAAGTCCAATGAAGTAGAGGAGGAAGATGAGTGAATCACGCCACCAGTGCTCATGCCTTGATGACATACTATACTCCAGCTCCCACGGGGGATTGTGTTCTGTTCCATTTCTGGTCACTGTGCGAGGCGTTATTCTGTAGGAAGCATGGTTCGGAGTTGTTTTCCTTTTCTTGTCTATTTCTTTGTTTGGATTTATTAGATTCACTCTAGGGCATTTCGCCCTTGTCTTCGAGTTGTGGGCCATACCACAACACCGGGTGGAAGTCGACGTTCGCCTAGATCGGTTGCCTGGCAGTCCCGATACTGGACGACGACGAAGTGCACCACCGAAGCCCATCGAACAACCACTCCGCTCTGCGAAAAGATGATGGGATGGTCCATTCGACCGGCTGTGTATCATTGTTGGATATGTAATGAGTCGGTTTCGGGGAAGAGAACGGAGCTCTAGAGCTCCCTGACAATTGTCAGGCTTGTTAATGGACAGTATCACCTCTTGTATGTACATACGAAGACTACGTCGGTGTATTGGTAATAGAGGCTAGTTGCCCGAGTCGATTTCCGTCTGGATTTTCAACCCATGATGTGGAACAGCTTGTAGTTTCCATTACTTGGGTGAGATTGGAAGAATGGAACTCTTCACTCCTACCCAAGTTCTTGCTAGAAACAACAATGAATAGTGCCATGTGCAGCTGAGCACAGAGAATCCCATACACTCACGCACTCCGTTACCCTCCACACCGGATAGTACAATCCCTAGTAGCTTCTCCAGACTGCCCATGTACCGACTTTCATACAAGATAGCATTGATAGTCCCTTTGCAATCAATTCGAACCATCTGGCCCATAATCAAGAGTGCAACTGAAGATGTAAAGCTGATCCCAATTCACATATCCTACTCTCCAGGCGATATTCACGGATCTCTCCTTCACGATTCAGTCAGTTGCCCATGGAGGCGGTATTCTCCGGCTATAAAAATGCCCTCTTTCCCCATGCCCTCTTTCCCGTGCCTTCTCTTTCTTTCTTACCCTGTATTCTCCTCACCTGTTCCCTTAGTTTCGTACCGATCTCATCATAACAATCATCGATCACTCTTGTTTACCACTATCCAAAAGAACACAACTTATTTCCCCTACCATCAACCAAGATGAAGTTCAATATCCTCTTCATGATGACCCTGCTCGTTGTCTTCGTGACATCCGTCGCCATCCCTGATATCGACGACGGTGATGTCGATGTCAATATCACCCTTAGTGATGAAGGTTGGAACTCCATCTCTCCTCATCTATTATCTAAATAGCATGAGCAGTGAAAGACGCTAACCCTACTCTTTTTCCATCCATATCACAGACTGGTCTGACTTGGATCTGGACTTTTTCGACTTCGATGTGGCTGATGACGTCGATGACAGCGATGTTGTTGCCCGCGATGAAGGTTAGTGTCTCATCAGCATAAGGGTTCTTATAGATGAACAAGTAATTTATCTGATCTTTCTCTGAACGACAGACTCGTTGAACTCTGAACCTGCTCTGGATGATGATGACGAAGACATGAGTATATTAAATCCCAGATGTCACCGTCGCTGCCGAGTGGACTCTCAATGTTGCCCCCGTGATAGGTGCTTCGGGGGCGTTTGCTTGGGACCTGGCCGTTATGCTTGAGTGGTATGGATCCATTCGTCGGCAATTGACATGGTAGTTTGATTGTTGGTCGGGTACATGGTACATTGGGGTTTGTGGGTTGTTGTTGTTTGCTGGACGGTGGTGAGATGCCAAGGGTATCAAATGGGTTGTTGTTATTATCTGGGATGCTAGTTCGGAGGATATTTCGTTTTCATGTTATTGAGGTTGCATCTCGGTTGATCTGAGAGCCTGCCCCTCGTTGCTGTTGTTCCTTTCGATTAGGTTCACTGTTGTTGTTTGCCGGACGGGGCAATTGCCATGGCTGCTGCTGCTGCTCTGTTGTCACCTGCTGTGCGGGACGATGGACCCGAGAATGGCTATAGTGACAGCCTAGTCTAGCGTCGTCGACGTGTGCTTTGCAATTAATGCCATACTATTCTACGGTTCCATCCCGTTGCCTTATGCCTTGTAGTTGGAAGTACTAGGAAAGGACGGGGGGGGTGGAGTCTAGATTGCACCTGGTGTAATGCAGTGCTACTATCACTGCAGCATACTATATGCCACCACCCCATGAATTGATCAACCACAACTGCCAGAAGGAACAGCATGCTATCACGGCGCATGCATAATCAGTCCATTAACGGTCAGGGTGTAGATATCGCACCAATAAGTTGGGGCCCGATCCATCCTATAGGAGCCTCCGTGATGGAGCTCCGAGGTCGTCAAGTCTCGGGCCTGACCCCGGATTGGATGCCAGCAGGGAAAAGACCACGACTACTGACGTGACAGGCTGGAGGGTGTTCGGATTCCTGGTTTGATCCGGGATTCTCCGCACGGCTGTCTATCTGACTTTGGAGATCAGCATGGAGGGAGGAAGAGGGGGTGGGAGAGGGTGAAGACAACGATGTCTAGGACTGCGCTGGAGAGTCTATTCCAGGATGACCCGGTTCTTTCAGTCAGATCCGGGGGGGTGTGAAGTCATCGATCTATCCTTGGTATGATGGGGATCCCTGGATAGACTGACACAGTTGTACGGACATGCAGACATACATACATGAAGGCAGCGGCCTGCATACTACTTACATCCAAGGCTCAAACATCGACGTCCAACTACTGGCACCGCCGAGAGGCCCTAGGATGTTTTACGCTGCAAGTGCATGACGAGCTCCAGGAACTGGCGCCTGAGGTGGAGGACACTGATTGGCCGCATCATCTGGTGACCTCTGGTGTTGTTGTTGTTTCTCGTCTGAATGGAAGCATCACTTTGAAAGTTTAACGACGGGGGGTTGGTTGAGTTGGATTAGTTTGTTCAGAGGAACCATCGGAACCCGATGGAGGGGTCCAGGTGATGGAGTGAATTGGGAAGTTGGGGGGGTTAGTTGGGAGTCGGGAGTATAAAGGGTGGAGGAACTTCACTTATCTCTGGCGGACTATTGGGTCCAGGTGTACGGTGGCCAGTATCCTCCCCCAGGCTGTTGTTTGTACAGCGTGGCGGCGGCCGCTGCTGGTGCTGTTGGTGCTGGGGACTTCGGCCTTGCTGCAGCGGATCCAGCGATACGCTCGGATAAGCCAGAAATGGGAGGGATTAGGAAGTATTATGTGATTGTGTGGGAGAGTGATGATAGCAACCCGGCAAGCCTAGACGAGACGAGACGAGATGAGATGATCGGAGACGAAGACCCGACCAGCTCAGTCGGAGGTTTAATTGTGAGGGAAGGAAAACAGGAACGAACGGGGTCCTTCGAGAAGGATGTTGGGCTGTGCGTCTGCAGTAGCGGACCTGCCGTGGGATGAATCGAGTAGTAGTATGAAGAATGGAGGCTGTGTCAGTCTGTCAGTAATAATCAGTCTCCGTCCCCCCTCTTTCAACCTCTTTCATCTCCGTACGGAGTATAGAAAGCAAGTTAGGGTATGGAGTAGTCAGTCGTTGGCGAGGAGACATGATCGGGGCCCCCATCGGAGTCATTCATAGTTCGTTATCCACCTCGTCTCATCTACGGCTTCATCAGGCACCCTGTCAGGCCGCCGTGCATTTCCACGGCTCTGATTGCTGCTCCAGATTCAGTAATCGCATCCTTCATCTCGACTCGGCTGGGAATTATTATTATATTATTATTCTTCTTCGTCTTGTCCCCTACGCAAGGATTCGATTGTGCGTTCGCCGTTTCTTCCATCGGCCTTCCATTGGACCTGTTCCATCGGGCCCAGTCCTGCCAATCTCTTTCCCTCTTTTCTCCCTCTCCCTCGCGACTCTTCACTTGGACTCCTCTATTGCTATTCTGTTCTCTTTTCCTCTCATCATCCTCGGTCTCGTGGGCGGTGAATTTCATCATTCTCCTCCTCCACCTCCTCCACTCCCCGTCCTCCTCCTCATCGTCATCTCATCTGCTATGGATCAACTGATCGACTGGTGATATATTCATCCAATCCTCGGTCCCCTTTCCCTGTTCCTTCAGCCCAACCAGCCTCACAGCCGGGCGACACCCAGTTAGTCGGTCTACTATCGACGACTCCTCGCCCTTATTCGTCGTTTCCCCTTCCTCGTCATCCTTAGTTGCTCTGATGCTCTTTATGCCCTTTCTATCCCACTGCATTGTCATTGTCACTCCCTCTGCCGTTGACCCCCCCGATTACCTACTAGTAGCAACCTGACAACAAGCATAACAACAACAACAATCGCCCACCTTTCATCATAAGAACAAGAAGCTCCAGCATCCACCACCATATCGTCATTGTGCGACCGGTGGGACTCGGATTGCCTGGGCAAAGCAGTGCCTGGACAACACCAACTCAAATTCTCACCGACTTCTTCAGGGAGATTGCTTTCTATTTATTTATATCACTGAAATCCGAGTTCAAAGTTTTTATTTTCTCTTCCGTTTCTTGATCTGTTATTGCCCATTGGTCTACTTAACACCGATTTCCATTTCGATTTTTTGCTTTTGGCCCCTGCTTTCTTTTTCCTCCCTCGCTCGTCTCATCCACAGGGCCTTTAATTTTAATACTCTTGCCCCTCTGCGTCGCACCTGTGAGAATTCCACACAGGGTTACAGTCATTGCTGACCACAAGGATTCCGGCGCAATTCTTATGGACATCGCCATTCCTTCCCCCACGGGTGTCTAAGTCGTTCTCCGCACGACAGTTTAGCGACCGTGTCGAGCCGTATGGCCATCTCCATCGCCGACAGTTCCTGTAGCCCGACGAGGTCGCTGGGTCTGTTGTTGGACCCAGAGAAGGTTGACCTTCCCCGTCCCAAACTGAGCATGTGGCATCGCCTGGGCCTTCGCAGGTGGCTGGGCCGTGATGATCGAGATTTCTCCTCACATTCCCCCGCCGGTGACGCTGCCCCCACTGCAAATAAACCCGGTTCTCCAGCCGCCCATAACAATCATAATGCTAATCAACATCCGGTCGGCAAGAACGACTCCCACAAACTTCTCTCCCGTCACAGCAAACCTCACGACAATCTCACGCGTCGCCTCTCCAGAAAGGTAGGAGTCGGTCTGCCCCGAGCACCCACCTTCAAGCGCCAGAATTCCGAACGGCGAGACAATCTCCTCCCCCCTGAGCCCGAACCCCGTCGCGCCGTGTCCGCCGACCGTCGTCGCGCCGTCAGCTCCCACTCACAGCGGTCCAGATCCCCACCGCCCACCGTGGACCCCAGACTATCCGCACCCGAGGTTCAGTGGCGCGAGGACCCAAGCGAGACCACGGTCGAAAGACTACCCGAAGCGAATGAGGACGGCGACTTCCACTCGGAATGGAACCCTTGCCCTGACGTGGCGGAAGCTCCCGAGGAGCTACCGGACGATACGCTCGAGATGGAATTGGAGAAGCGCTGGATTTTGAACCTGAGCATGCATTTTCGGGATCGCTCGGAGCGGGAAAAGTTTTTCGTCACATATGCTGAGACTCCAACCAAGTGGCGAAGGGTGACCATCTCATGCGATTACCGCGGCGCTCCCCCCGATTCCCTCGAACAAGACCTGAGGGAATTGCAGTACCAGCGTGACAAATGCGCCCGAATCTACGAATCCATCCGTGAATCGTTGTCGGAGATTCAATTTTACGATACGGTGACGAATCTGAAGTTGGAGACCCGAGACGGACGCCTGCATGTCCATGTTACGGAAGATGTCAATGAGATTATCCCGTACCCTCCAGTTTCCTGCATCGGACATTTGCCGGAGGCCCGGCTGGTCCGGGAGAACCAGCTCCATTTCGAGGCGCATTTATCCGGCTTTGTCTACAACGTCAACCTAGATGGTAAGACCTACATCAAGAAAGAAATTCCCGGCCCCGATACCGTAGATGAATTTCTGTACGAGATAAATGCGCTTCATGCTCTACAAAACACTCCTTATGTGGTTCAGGTAGAGGGAATTGTGGTCGATGACCAGGAGCAAGTGGTCAAAGGACTTCTCATCGGCTTTGCGGAGAAAGGAGCGCTGGTCGACATCCTTTATGAAACCCACGGCACGATTGCGTGGGAACGGCGGGAACGTTGGGCGAGGCAGATTGTCCAAGGGCTTTGCGAGGTCCACGAGGCTGGTTACGTACAAGGAGATTTTACGCTTTCCAATATCGTTGTGGATGGCGATGATAACGCACAGATCATTGATATTAATCGTCGAGGCTGTCCGGTGGGATGGGAACCCCCGGAGATCGCGGCAAAGATCGAGAGTAACCAGCGGATCTCGATGTATATTGGGGTCAAGACTGATCTGTTCCAGCTTGGCATGACTCTGTGGGCTCTGGCAATGGAGATCGATGATCCAGAGCGACAACCGCGTCCTCTGATACTGGACGAGGACGCGCGCGTACCGGACTACTACCGTAGGTTAGTCTCCATCTGCCTGAGTCCGTCTCCCCGACACCGACTGTCGGCCAAAGAGCTTCTGGCTTTTTTCCCCCGCAGTATTTGGGTCATGGAGCAACCCTTCCCTCGAATTCATCCCGCCCACACAGGCCTCGGCGTTGCCTTGCAAAATGGCGCTTTGCCATTGTACGACCCACGGGCAGCCTTTCTGTATCAGCACACGCGGCCTGTAGCCAACGGCGGTTCCTTCGATACTCAATTGTCGCTGGATGATGCATACTCATTACAACACGATGGCAGTGATTTTGTGTCCACTCCGGATAAAGAGCAATTTGATGCGCTGAAAGAACAGCAACAAGCTGGGATGGCCAGGAGAGGTATGCTTGAGAGCGAGCCAGCACCCACACAGCAGGACAAATACGCAAGTATAACATCAACGAATGAACACCTACTACAGACGACACTTCAGCCAACGTTGAGAAGCACCCAGGAGCTTCACAACTGTGTTTTCTCGAGCCAAAAGGAAGACGAGCTTGAACTGGATGCCAGTGTCAATCCTTTCTATCGAAGGGCCTCCGTGGACCGTGCCACTGGCCAGGTCCCCTTCGAAACGTGCCGTTTGCCTGGAGAGCTTGTCGGAGTTGGTGGTCACTTCGCTAGCTCTTTAGATCGGGCTTCGAGGAGCAACCTATCAGACATTGGGAGGTACCAGGAATCTCCCTTGTCGTCAGCAGCCACTCAGTCTACGGACCTGTACCCTGCTCACCTAGGGGACCTGGGTCATGCCCTGATTGACGATGAGCATTGGTCCATGGAAGCGCCGTCGCGTTCGGTGTCTTCCCTTCTGCATTCGATTCTTCCAATCAACCCAGCAGCTAACCTCTCGGAGCAAAAGCTGATAGACTCTGAGGCGAGCCGCCTGCCTCATTTGAAAATTGGTTCTGCCTTGAGACATCCTCCTCAGTACCTTCAAGAACCCACCGCCTATTTGAGCGACTCCCATTTACCCATCAACCCTGCATTTACGGACAAGGCCTTGGCACCCGTATGACCCAAAAGAATGTTCTCTCAAGTTTGTTTCCAGGAAGCCGTCACTTGTTCCACACACGTTGTCCGTGGTTTGGAGTCTCAGGCATGGGACCGGACAGTGCGCGATACCCCTGCGAGTTAGCACTGTACATTTAGTTACTTTTGAAGCGTTGCTCTATTCAGCGAAAATCATGGCGATTTCGGAGTTTAATGACTTTCGGGGTTTGGTTTCTCTTTCTCTCTCTTTTGGTTATCACAGCTCATCATCTAAAAGCCCGGGGGCAACCAGGTTCTTTCCGTCGCGATTGCAACCAATTCCAGGAACACAGCTGTCGTGCAGCATGATGTTTCTTTCCACGGCGTTCTATCCTTGCTTTCTACCCCCTACTTACGACTTACGACCGGATGGATATTGTCTTTCTCGACTTCTCTGCGCGTTCAATCACAGTCCCATGTACACTGGTTGTTAATACTATTCTCCGCAGCAACTGTATGAATTTGAAGGATGATCTGATCTATTTGACTTATACCTATAACCTACAGATTCAGCCTCGGTTAGGTTTAGATATGCAATCTAAACCATTGGTCTAGTTTCTCATTTAGTTTTACATCTTCTCCTTCTGCCTCATCAATTCGTCATCGTCGTCATCGTCGTCATCGTCATCATCATAAACATATCTACTAATCAGTACTCCGTAACAGAAACCCCTCGAAACTCTCCTGCCACGGGCCGCCATCCACACCCAATCCCCTGCCAATCAAAACAACCTTGCATTGCGTCTTCGCATCCTGGGCGGGCTCCGCATCCCGGATCTCGAAAACGTCCCGCACCGCTTGGATGATTTTCGTTGATCCATCGTCAAGGACCAAGATGCCCTTTAGTCGGTGGATATCGAAGCTAGTAGGGCCCGAAACTTCCGACGCGAGGGGCATAACAGAGTCCCAGAGGACGGATTGGAGCCAGGTGTCGACGCGGGAGACCTGAGAAGATGAGATGGGTGGGGTGGTGATTGCGACGGTTGAGATGGCCTGGTGTGGGTGTTAGTATTATGTCTAAGGTGATGGTAAAGGATGGATGAGGACACCGGGTGGGATGGAATGAACGTACCGGATCCATATGACTATGGCCCCTTTGAGCGAAATCTAAGCTATCTAGATGATCATATGCGTGCAGATCTAGAACCACACCCTCGATCTCGGGTGTCTTGCTGTGGTCCGTGATGTGGATCTTGGCTGCGTTGTTGATGGCTGTCACGCGGTCCTTGACACGGACGAGTTCGTCCTCGGTGACAAGATCTGCTTTGTTAAGAATGATAACGTCTGCGTGTGAGATCTGCATGTGGGCCATGGAGAGGACGGGGCCCGAGTGCGAGTGCGAGTGCGAGTCAGTTCCATGGCTGGAGACGGTTTCTTCGGGGGTGGGCTCGTCCAGAAGATGTAAGATGTTTTTGGCGTCGACGAGAGTCACGATGCCGTCGAGGTAGATGCTGCTGCCGAGGTTGTCGTCGACCCAGAAGACCGGGGCGATGTTGCCTGGGTCTGCGAGGCCGGTGGTCTCAAGCAGGATGTAGTCGAATGCGCCGCGGCGTTCCATGAGGGATTCGATGGCCATGACGCCGTTGTCTCTGGTGTGGTTAGGTTAGGGCGGGTTGGAGAAGATATAGGATGAGAGAGAATACTTGACGGAGCAGCAGATGCAGCCGTTGCCGACTTCCATCCATTCGGTCACTTCTTGACCGTCTTGGTTGACGGTTAGGGGTTTCTCGATGTCGGTTGCTAGGGGCGTTAGTTGTTGGGTTGGGGGATGATGCCGTAGGCTGGCTTACAGTCTCCGAATTCTACAGAGTCTTAGCATCTAGCTGTCTATCAGATGGTGGTGCTGCACTCACCGTTCATTATCACGGCAATCTTCTTGCCATGCTTTTCAGTGAGGATATAGTTCAGCAACGTGGTCTTGCCGGCTCCGAGGTAGCCTTGACACGAGGTTAGTGTGGATCTACGGGAATTTTGTTTTGCTGCTCTACAAGAGATCGATCTGCATGTGTCGCATCACATCATACCAGTCACAAGCGTGATGGGCACGCGGCCCTGAGCCGGAGTGTCCACTGACGTCGATGGCGCAGAGTCGGGAGCGGTGGAGACATCGACCAGCTGGGGCGGGGCATCGTCGTCATCCATGTTGGGCTTCGGAGTGCAACCAGAGGGAAGAGAGGGGGGGGATAGAGAGTCGAGGATACTATGTCAGATGCGATGGAGATGAAGAGAAGCAAGTCGGGGAATGACGTTGCCGCAAGAGGCAGGCTAGGGCTTAGGGCACCGGCAGTCATGGGCGGCGATGCAAACCAGAGAAACCAGGCCAACCATGCCCGTGATGGGCGGCCCGTCACTCCGGCCAGCTCCATCTTATCTCCTTCAGCTCTCTGTTTATCCACTTCTCCAATTCTCGTCTCTCCTTTTTTTCCCCATTCCTTTCCTTCTTTTCTCCCCGCTCGTGCTGTGCGAATCTTCTCGCCATGGCTGCTGCGGGCGTCTCCCAGGCTACCTCCCCACGCCTGCCCAGTCCTCCCCCGTTTACGGAGGTCCAGATCGGGCCCAAATCGCCCTCGGTCGGCGAGTCCTTCGACCACGAGACCGAGCGATTGCTGGGCGCTTCACAGATCTCGGAGGATGGCTCGACCCGGAGAATCCGCCCGGGCACTAGGGCTGTCGACATGGCCTTTGGACCTCCTTTGATTCCTCTCTCCCAGGTACGGCCGTGTAAACAAGGCAGCTCCGCCCGATCCTTGCTCCGCTGACCCAGCCCCTTTCTGCGATAGCTCGACTCCCCCTTCCAACTCCAAGAACACCTTAAGGCTCTTTACAATCATTACACGCGACCAGAAGGCACCGATACGGTAGTTCCCATCAGCCGGGAGGTCGCCATCCAGCTTGCGGAGCCGCCGGACGGCGTCGACCGGTCGCTATGGCTCTACGAATTGTGTCGTTTCCTAACCATGAAGGTCAACAACCTCCTCATCGCCTTCTTCGCCGACTCACCTCCCTGTTCCGCTCAGACCTGTCCTGAAATGCGTGCGTCCGAGTGGCAGTACCTCTGTGCTGTCCACGACCCGCCCAAATCCTGCTGCGCCATTGACTATTGCTGCCACACCCTCGATTGGGCGACAAATATCCTCACATCGCCCAAGTATTTTCCCAGTCGGCTGACCCTCGGCTCGGAAACCGGCGGCGGCGCACAGGCCAGCATGCGACACCTGACCAACATCTTCCGTCGGCTGTATCGCATCTTCGCGCATGCCTGGTTCCAACACCGGGAGGTGTTCTGGCAGGTCGAGGGTCACGACGGGCTGTATGTCTTCTTCAAGACGGTTTGTGACATGTACAGTCTCATTCCGGAGGACAACTACACGGTTCCTGCGGAGGCGGAGGGTGTCGATGTCCAGCAGCCGCCGGCGCTGGAGCACACGGACAAGCGTCGGATGACGATCCTGCGCAAAGACAATGAATCGTTTGCCGCATCGTTGGAGAACATGGAGTCGGCGTCAATCAGCACGGGGGCCACCACGCGGCGTCACAAGAATAGCCCGTCTGTCAGCTCGAGTGTCACAACCATCAGCGAGGGCGCTGAGGATGACGAGCACCCAAGACAGCAGGCTGTGGCGGCAGCAACAGCTGCGGTTGCTGCTGCAAACGCCGCCGCGGCTGCGTCTTCCCCTGTTGCTGCTTCCTCTGCTCCTGCCCCTGCCCCTGCTCCGGAGCCTGAGTCCGAGCCCGAGCCAACACCAGAGGCGGCTAGTGAGGAGCAGACGTCCCAGCCCGAGCCATCAGCCGACAGCAACGGGTCTAAGATTACAGTTTCTGAAGTCCACGCCGAGGATGACGAGGCCGCTCCAGAGTCGACGGGGAAGCCAGAGCCAGCGGAGCCCGAGACCAAGGTCGAAGCGGACGAGCCGGCGGCGGAAGCTGAAGGCGAAGCCTCCGCAGAGGCTGCAGAGGCTACAGAAGCTACAAAGCCCGAAGAAGAGTCGGACGTGAAGCAACCTAGCTCGCAGGAACCGCCGGCGGAAAACGAAGCGGCGCAGGAGGCGTAGCACGAGCACATTTTCTTTCTGATCTCTTCTCCTGACATGATGCCATGTGTCGATACCACGGTTGTAATATGTCTTGCTTGATGGAAGTGCATGCATGTTAGACGGGGCCCTGATGTAATATACGACTCGAGCGAGTTTAATGATACCCTTGAATGCTGTGGTGTGGTGTGATGAATGTAAAGAAGATCGTAACTGTGCTGGAACTGGTGCTAACTCCGCGTAACTCCGAATCGATAACGATAGATAGCGACGATCGTCTCCACCAGCTGTCCGGAGCTCTACCATTCTTGCTTTCTGCTTCTCCCAACCACATCCACTGCACATACCACTCTCTTCCCCTGTATATATCCATTTCCCACCCATTGCACATACACTTTTACACAAATTCCAACCCATCTAACCTACCAAATACATGTCCACCACCAACCCCAACACCACCATGTCCATCCCCCCCTCAATATCCACCATCCTCAAAGCCGGCCCCATCCACTTCGGGCCCTTCCTCGTCACAACCCAGGTAACTAACCCCTCTACCCTCCCCTCCTACCCCCCATTCCCTCCAATTCACCCCAAACTAACCCCACAAACCAATCCAGGTCTTCCACCTAACGCCCCACACCTACGCCCTCGTAAACCTCAAACCCATCCTCCCAGGCCACGTCCTGATCTCCCCCCGCCGAGTCGTCCCCCGCGTCACAGACCTCACGCCCACCGAAACCTCGGATTTGTTTCTGACTGTGCGGCGCGTCGCCCGCATGATCGAGCGGGTATATGGCGCCTCGAGCTTGAATATTGCCATCCAGGATGGGGCGGATGCGGGACAGAGCGTGCCGCATGTGCATGCGCATGTGATTCCGAGAAAGAGGGGGGATTTGGATCATAGGGGGGGGATGGATGCTGTTTATGAGATGTTGGATGGGGAGGAGGGGGATTTGAGGGATGCTTTTCGGGAGGAAGGGGAGGGGGAGAGGAGGAGGTTTCCGAGAGTGGATAATGAGGAGAGGAAGCCGAGGGATATGAAGGAGATGGAGGAGGAGGCGTGGATGTTGGCGAGGGAGATGGAGAGGGAGCCGGTCGATTAGATTAGGTTGTTTTAGTTAGGATGGGTTGTATAGTTGGTATATAGTTGGGATGGTTGGGATTTGGGATAGAAATGTGCATGTATGTATGTCTATTGCTAGTCTAAAGTCCCTAAGTAGGAATAAAACACAGCCGCAACGCCCACACGGTATGTATGCATAGTATCCGTGATTAAAATAACAAATTCGTCCATCCGTCCATGTCCACGGTCGTACACATAACGCCGTCAATATGTATGTATGCAGTAATCACATCATGCAGTCTTGCTCTTCCAGAACGCCTCCCGCTCCCGCAACAATGTTGCCGCCCACTCCTTGGTCTCCGGGAGTTGGACCTTGCTCGCGACGTGACAAAACTCCGACAGATCAATGCTGTTGGCGCGCTCGTACTCGACCATCTGCAGAAGCAGCTCCATCTTGTCGACATCATGAACGAACTGCGCCTCCAACGTCTCGTTGGCCTCGTACTCGTTAAACACCTTCAGGATCTCCTGGCCCGTCAGCATGCCACCTGGGACACCGCCCAGGAGGCTGTTGGCAATGTAGTCCATGACCGCAGCCTCACGACGTGCCTTCTCGGGCTTGTCGACGTTGTCAACAGGGGTGATGTCGCCGACGAGCGACTCGGCCATGTCGTGAATCAGGGCCATCTTCATACAGTGGGGTAGGTTGAGGCGGGAGGCCAGCGAGGGGGGCGCGAGCATGGTCATCACCGACATGCGGTACATGTGGTCGGAGATAGACTCGCCGGAGTTGATACCGAATCGGCGCCATCCTTCGCGCTTGGTGGTCTTGAGGCGCTCGAGGAGGTGGAAGAAGGGGATCGGCGAGGCGGAGTTCTCCTCCGGGGGTGGGGGAGCGTGCTCAGGACTGGAAGATTAGTTTAGTTGTTAGCTGGTTGGACGTGCGTTGGAGGAGGGGTGGGGGTGGCTCACCGGACTGGGTGGTCCAGAGGGGATTGGAGGGGGTGTCAGAGCCCATTTTGACAGGACGGGTGGGGAGGGGAGAGTAGAGGGGGAAATATCAAGTATTATCACCGGCTGAAGAGCAGTAATGAAAGAGAGAAAGAAAGAAAAGAAGAGGAGAGGAGAAGAGGAGAAAGAAGAGAGAAACTGCGGGGAGAAAAGCGGTCGCGCGGATTGGTTGGACCAGTCAGCGGATCGCCATTAACTAACTAGTAAGGTACGCATCTCCTCGTCTCCATCTCTTCCCTCCGTGCACCTACCTGGCTCTTCTCGGTGGCCTGTAGGTACAGCTGAGTGCATTCGAGTATGCTTAACATTGGCTACTACTTCAACCTGCATCTACTAACACCCCCAGAGGAAGCCATGCAGTCCCGAACCCCCCGCCCCAAACCGCCGTCCCCCAACTGGCCCCCTCAGCCTCCCCTCGCCGTCTTCGTCCGCAGCCTCCAGCTCCTCCAACTCGATCGCCATGACGATTGGCCTCATATCTCCCTCCGCTCCCTCGCAGACACGTCGCAGAACCAGCGTCAACGCGTGAGGGCCATCGAATGGGCTCTGTACCATCTCGTTGCCCTCTGGGATCCCAGCACCGCTCGGGATGTATGTCCGCCGTCCCCTCAGTGCCTTGATGCCCGACTGACGGCCGCAGAAACTCCGTCCCTTCTTCCCTCCCCTCGAGCCGCTACAGTCAGTCAACCTGCGCGCCGCCTTGTTCCGCGTACTCTCCGAATTAAAGAAACAAGGTGATCTGGGCAAGGAGGCTATTCTCCGCAAGTCAATGCTAGATGACTGCAGGGGCGAGAAATTCGAGGAATTGCTAGCCGTCTTCTCCACGGCTGTGCTGCGGAAGACCCTGGCCGCTTCCCCAGATCCTGGCTTGCAAAATGTGGCCACGAGGATTTCACTGGCCCCGGGCCTGACTCGTGAGGAATATCAGCTCGTGCTCCCCCTGGTTCTGGCCCATCGCGTCTCCCTCAATCAGATCGGGGAGCGTCGCACTAAAGCCCAAGACACCCATGAAAGGTTCACTCAACTGCTGGATCTCAAGAGACTACAGTTCGACGAGCGGTCCAAGGAGAACACCCCTCAGCTCTCTGACAACGGCGCTGACATCGATGCCTTGACCCGCGACCTCAAGGATAACTGGCTGGGCAGTAAGGACTGGGGCGATGCCCTGCTCCATGGCGGTGCTCAGGGCAGCAGCGACGCCTTCCTGGAACTTCCATTTGACGCCGCCTGGGCGAAAGCCAACGAGTCAAACGTGGATGGTCTCCGCGCGAACACATCTCCCGATCTGCTTGTCGATCTGGAGTCTCGCGTCTTCCGCCAGCGAGCCCGGCTGCAGCGCTGGCGCCAGTACAGCGCCTCCATGCGCAAGCATGAGCGGATAGAATCGGCCAGCTCCACCACCTCCCAGCCGCTCGTCTTCCGCGAGCACCAGGCACTCACGGTCGCCAGCATTTCCAAGGCCGTCCGGCAGCCGGTAGAGCGTGCCTCCCCCAAGGCAGACGACCGGGCGCTGCTCTTCTCCATGACCGAGGCCATTGCCCGGATCAACGGCCGATCCGCTGCACGTCACCGCCACACCAAGAGCGACTCTCGGTCACGCAACACCACAGCAGTTCCTTCTTCGTTGTCGGCAGCTGATAGCAACAAACCATCACCCACCGACGAGCAAGACACACCCCGCCCAGCCACACCCCCCATCCCAGAACCCCAACCCAGCCTCCCATCTTTCTCGACCACCAAAGCCCCAGAACGACCCCCTCTCCCTCTGAACCAACCAGCCGATTCACTCTCGTCGAACGAACCCGCAAATCCATGTCCCTCGTCCCACCACCCACCCACACCCGACCACGAGACAGCTTCCGATCACACCGACCCCGTCCCTCGTTCCCTGTGAACCAGTTTGAAACACCTGAGAAACCGAACCCCATCCCCAGGGCCTCCACGCCGCACGACGAGCTCTTCAAAGAAGAAGCCGACTACGCCAGCGTATTCAAGTCGCGGCCACGTGTGGCACACAGCCCTATCGCATCGCCAGCGGTACACATCAGCCCCATTGGAGATTTCGATCTGGGAGCAGACGAGGACATCGATATGGATGAGCTGGGGGGAGCGGATGAGTATGCACAAGATACGCCGTTGACCTCAAGACGTAGGATCTTTTGATACTCATGCTGCTTTTCTTCTTTCCATTCTTATACTATACCCTACCCACCCACATACTACCTACGAATAATGTTTATAGATAACCCGGTCCAAGCAGTCCACAATTCACAGTACACGATATAGCATTTATTAGCCCATCACATTAATTCTATCATGCCTTATCATCCATCTCTATCATCGTTTCGATTTCCAATTCCCGTTCCGGTCATATACCACAAACGCCAAACATAGCTACATGGTCTAGAAACGAGCATAAAACAAAACTGGAAAACCATCTACCCACCACCCCGTCTCGTACGTCTCCGCGTCGTCGGCGGCACGTATTCCGGCTCTGAACCCTCCGAACCCGGGATCTCTATTGGTGAGGAGAGCGCTTCCGAGTCAGAGCTCAGTGAGATCGGGTCATCGTGCGAATCATCAACCTCGGCATGTACAGTCTGAATCTGCGGCGAATTCGGCTGTCGATGCTGTGGTTGCTGATGCTCGTGATGGTCGACTATTAATCCTCCATCGTCGTCACCATCATCGCCAGGGAGGAGGAATCCGCCACCTTGATCTGCCGGGTCATTGTCTTCGCCTGGGAGGAGGAATCCACCACCGTGGTCGACGGGATGCTCATCTTCACCGGGAAGGAGGAATCCACCTCCTTGATGAGCAGGATCAGAATCATGGTCCTCCGGGCGAGGGGCAGATCTAGATGCAGACAACTGATCCCGACGATTCGTGAACGGATTGTGCACATCGTGCTCATGTTCCTCCGAACCGTACTCCTCGCGCACGCGCTGTGCGATGCGCAGCCCGAAGAGAAACTTTCGCCAGGTCTGTAGAATGCGTGCCTCGGCTTTGCGCTGCTCTCGCTTCCGTTTCTCGGCGTCGTCCGCACGCCAGGCATCTTTCACGAGGTCCTCGTTCTCCATGGCGACAACTACACCTTGGATGACGGGGACTGCCATCTTGGAGCCGAACTCGAAGCCCGTGACTGCTTCGGCGTAATCGATGCCAAGTTTCTTGCATACACGGACGGTGCCCGGCCAGGGGATGTGGGCGGCGCCGCGTGGGACCATGCTGGGGACGAAGCAGTCGATGTTGCCGTAGTCATTTTTGGGGATGATACCGTCGCGGATCGGGGGTGGGATGATGTATTCGGTTTGGTGTTTGGCATAGAGCCCCTGTTTGGGCTTTTGGCCATTCTCGCGCTCGAATTCGTCGACTTCGCGCTTGCGGAGGAGAGTGACAGCGCGGATGGGCACGTGTTTCAGCGGTATTTCGCCGGTCTTGATTCGGCGGCCTTCTTTGTGCCAGCTTTCAGCAGATTGGCATTTTAGAACGTCTTTGCGTCGGAACACCTTCTCTTCTTTCGCTTTGGCGCCCTTGCCGGTGGCGAAGGTCCGGACGTGTCGCGCACCGGGTTTGAGGGCTTCTTCGCGGCGGAGGAAGCGTTCGAGGACGAATTCTGTGGATGCGCGCAGACTCTGCAGGGTGTCGCCTTTGGCTGGTTTGCGCTCCGGTTGGTTGGGGAGAAGGTCCTTGGCGTCTTCGATGTCGTCGACGGCAGTGCGCTGGGGAGGGGCACGTTGGTAGACGCGGAAGATCACGCGAAACCAGTCGATTTCGTAGAACTTGCCTTTGCGCCCTGGTACGGGGATCTTCTCGACGGGCATCCGGTAGCCCTTGGTCTTCCCGGGCCAGGTGCGGCGCCGCAGATAGCGCGTAGTGACATCTTTAGCGGTCTTGTCCGCAGAGTAGGCGATGATGTAGCAGATGACCTGCTTGGCCCTCTCGGCTTTGGCACCGCGGGGTTCGAAGGCCGCCTGGAGGTCGGGGGTAGTGGCGACCGGATTACGAAGGACTAGCGGGTCAACTGGGATGATTTGATGGGTGACGGGAGAGGCCACCTCGGTCCAATAGATAGGGAAGGGCAGGTCCTTGTCGTATCCTTTGGAATTCTTGCTGCGGGTGGGTTTGGTGTCTTCTTCACTACTGTCGGATTCCAGGTCGACCGCAGTTTCGGTCTCTGCATTCTCTATCGAAGGCTCTGTGTCTGCGCGCGGTTTGCTCGTGTAGGTCTCGGCCTTGGTCCAGCCAAAGCCCAGGGGTTGCAGGCTAGCGACCAGTCGAGCTTCGATGTTGAGAGCACGCAGCAGCGCGGTGAATAGCTGCGCGCCCACATCTCGCGAGCCCTGCATGTTCTCTGCGGCGTGTCGAAACTCTTCGATATCAGCGATTTTCTCCCCGTGTTTCCCAGGGTCGTGATTGTCCTTGTGTAAGGAGGTGATCTGGGCCTCCAGCTGAGCCATAGGACGGTACCCTTGTTTCCGTAGTCCCGGGGCGGTGATCTTGAACTGGCTCTTCCAGTAAGCGGCCAGGACTTTGAGGAGGAGAATGATGGGATCTCCGCCACTCATATCAGGCTTCCCAGGTTCCATCCGCGACGAACCTTCAGCCCAATCCCGGTCAGATTGGCGACGCTGCTTCCCTTTGCCTTTCTTCGACTTTTTTACCGGGGGCTGCTCCGGGACCTCGAGGCCGGATGCGATGCGCCATTTCTTCACCTCCTGGTGGATGGCCGGGAGAAGCTTGCGGAGGAGGGTTTCGTGGACCTGGGTGTCATTGACCCAGGCATTGCGGATGGCGTTGTGGTGGAGCAGAAACTGCACATGCAGACAATGGGTCTGGATGCGGATCTGGCGTTCGATTTTGGATGGGCCCTTTTTCCCTTCGAGAAGGTCGGACAAGTGGATCTCGTTCTTGTCTAGCGTCAACTCCAGGTCCTGGTGCTGGTCGCGGGTGAGAATAGAGGGCGTCATTGGGGTGGCGCTGGGGGGATTGGTCTCGATGGCGTCCTCCCAGTCCACCTCATCAGAGCCGCTGCTTTCTTCATCGGATCCGTCCTGGACCAAAGGGGTTTCCTCTGGAATATCGCTTAGGGAAGATTCGGAGTCGGTGTCGGGGACGACGGCGGCGATGGATGGCGTCGCATGATGACGTTTGGCGGCGGGCGGATCCTCGGAGGAGAGACGCTTGCGGGGGACGAAGGGGGGCATGCACGCAGAAGAATCCGATTGGGTTGAAGGGAGTAAGCAATTTATGAGACAGAAGTGAAGGTGAATAGGCAATGGGAGGGAATGTTGAAGTAGAGAAGTTGTGGTGATGGAAAGGAAGCGGAAGAAGAAGGGCGTGGATTATTGGACGGTCGCCGTCGAGTCTCGGCTTCTCCGCGTCTCCAGATAATCATAATCAACTCCCCTACCTTCATCTCTCCATCTCTCTGTCTCACTATCACCCTACGACTCTGCAAGATCTATTCTACCAGGCACTTACGTCTACAACAGTAACCATGTCAGCCACGATGGAGGCCGCACGCCGCTTCTTCACGTCGCCGCAGTTTGCCGTGGCGGGGGCCAGCAACGATCGCAGCAAGTTTGGCTACAAGAGTAGGTTCCCCTGCTATCCATCCATCCATCGCTTTCCTCAACTGACCAGCAGTCTTTGCATGGTATCATCAACACTCCCTGCCCGTCATTCCCCTCAACCCGCGTGCCCCCGAGATCGAACTGCCGTCGCAGAACTACAAGACGGTCGCCTCGCCCCGCGCATTGCCCAACCCCGACCAGACCTCTCTCTCCATCGTGACGCCTCCCCCAGTGACCCTCGCCCTCCTTAAGGAGGCTCACAGTGTGGGGGTCCCCGCGGTCTGGCTCCAGCCGGGCACATACGACCAGAGCGTGCTGGACTTTTTGGATGGCCACTTTGCGGCGGCGGTGGTGGGCGATGGGGGCCTGGGCGGCGAGGGCTGGTGTGTGCTGGTGGACGGCGAGAATGGATTGCGAGCAGCCCAGCGTGAATGGAAGGCTCAGCTGTAGTTAATTTAGTTTAATTTAATCTGAACCCACCATACTCCATACTGTGCGATAATGGGAATGATGGCGGTGAAGCGATGTGGGGGAGAAGAAAGAAAGAAAAGAAGAAAGAAGGAGGCTGGCGGTTGTTGGGGAAATCCGCCATCCGCCTTGGATTTTGCCTGTTTTTTTCGCCTTCTTCCTGATCTCCTCTTCTTCCTTTCCACCTTTCTCACTCTCACCCCCTCCCCAACATTAATTATCTTCATCGCCCACGTTCCTTTCCACCCCCCATCTTATGCAACCTCTATCATCCTCTGTCTTCCCCTGTCGCCCCTCCTCGAACGATGCCCGCCAGTCCATTCTCCCTCGACGCTCCCATCCCTCCACATCTCGACCTGGCCGGTGCTCGTTCGCAACTGTTCCAAGTGCCGCCGACCCCCTCGGCCTCATCGGCCTTGTATCGCTCTATTTCCATTCCCAACCGCAAAAGATCCCGCCCTGAGATTGAGAATCGCTCCTGGCTGGACATCGACACCCCCACCACTCGAGTTTCCTCGTTTTTCTCCCCCGACGATTATCTTCCCGGGGTAGATGACATCTCTGCTGATCTCGACTACCGCCCCAGTCGGTATCGCAATCTTCCGCGCCCCATCGCCCTCGATGACAGCATCGAATCCCTCAGTGAAGCCGCAGGCATCCGTCGGAAACGCAGTCGTCCCGACCCGTCGTTGATCGCGGCCTCGTCCATCACCTCTCCCACCAATCATAATGAGAAGATGACCACCACCAGCGTTGCTTATCCGCCGCTGGCTCCCGTCCGCTGGAGTCGGGCTGTGCTAGGCGTTGTCGGCAAGGTCTGGGACTTTTGCTGGGGTGGAGCCTTCCGGGGTTTCCATGCTGGGGGCGGCAGAGGCTACACCATGACAGGGGAGGATGCATCGCTCCCGCTCCCCGCCCCATCGACTGAGAAGGAAAGCTTTATCTTCGCCTCAACCCCCCAGATACAGGAACAGGGGCCTTCAAGTCCGCTGCCTGGTCATTATCCGGGTGAGGACGATCTCAACCGCAGTTGGGTCATGGTTTCCGCCCGCGAGGGACTCGACGAATCCAGCCCATCCCAGCGCAGGCGTGTCCATCGCCGGACTCCAGCACATACCCACAGCCGCCGGCGGTCGCAGGGTAAGCGCACGCTGATGTCACCGCATGCGCCGTCGATGCCGGCCAAGTCTCAGTTCTCGACACCCGCCAAGCCACGTGAAAGCCCTGTGTCGGTAGAGACCCAGCGCTACATGGCGCAAAAACGACGCATGGAGCGGGAGGAAGACGCCAGCCTCGCGCGGCTAAACCGCCAGCTCCAGGCGATGATCAAAGAGGGCCAGCAGGCGCTGGGGACCCGCGTGGAAGTGAACGACATGGATATGGAGGACTAATGCTTTTGAAATGTCCGACTCTAAACTGATACCCTTCGTTGAAACCTATTTGACCTTACTTGATGATTGGCGACGCTCGTTACGACTCATGACCCGGATAATGATTGGCGTGCACATTTCCACGAATGCACGCGTGCCACGATATTGTTATAGTTAGCTACTACTACGGACCGAACCACAGAATATGAATATTGTAACTGCATTAATCATTGAATCGTATAGAGTGAAAGGTCCTAAACTATTTCTTCCCAGCACCCATACCAGCCTCTGCTCCAGCCGGCCCAACACCAGCTCCAGCTCCAGCACCAGTCCCGCCTCAGGCGCAGCACCAGCACCAGCCTCACCCCCTTCTCCATTCCCCGCAGACTCATCCTGCTTAGGATTCGGGTTCAAGAAAGGCAACTCCACCGTCGACAAGAACCCAGAGAGTCCTCCCTCTTGAGCCAATCCATCGATGAGATTCGAGCCCTGGAACCGCGCCACTTTACTTGTGGACTGGTTTTGTTAGATACATACTGGTATTGATTATAAGGGGGGAGGGAAGGACGTACGGGAATGGGTAAAGCCACGCCTGCAGCAACGAGGAGGGCAGTCGTCATGGTGAGAGAGAACTTCATTGTGAGGTTTGTGGTTGGGGTTGGGTTTTCTGGTTTGGTTAGTTGGGTTGGTTAGTTGGTTTGGTTGGATGGGGTTGGATGGGTTGGATGGGGTTGGATGGGGTGGATGGGGTGGATGGGGTGGATAGGATGTGGATAGGATGTACGTACTTTGTTTGGTATATTAGGTGTGTGTATACGGTATGTAGTGAGGAATCGATTGAATGAATGAATGAATGAGTGAATGATCAATACTATATCCTGCGACCAAGAAAGAAAGATGGGACAGTGAGGATGAATGAGATGATTTATATCCCGTCCTTTGTCCCTTCCATCTTTCCTTCCAAGGGCATTAAGCACCAGGATTGAAAGAATGTAATGAATGGCATGCTAGCTACACGTCTCCCGGAGGCTTGTTCCTGTCATTCATATTCATATTCATCCCTTGATTTGGGGGGGATCCTACATTCCTTGTGTCTGGGATGGGATTGGAAGGGAGGATGGGTAGATAGGATGAGATGGATGGGGTATGGTGGCTGGGATGAATTGTTGGGTTGGTTTCCTTGGTTTTGGGTTCGATGGCCTTAAGGGGGGAATTGGGGGATGAGACTTTTCTTGTGTTTCTCTCTGGTGTCTTTTTTGCTTGGGTCTAGGTGGTATGGGAGATAGGGATAATCTAGGATAGGGTTGGGGTAGGGGTTCGGAGGGAGAGTGGGAGGTGACTGTGAGACTACCTACCTATCTATCCCCATTAGCGACACAATCTAGGTTTCGGATAATGAAGCATAAATGAATTGTTTCAAGAGTAGAGGGTATGTATCTGATAAATATAGAAACAAAAAATAGAAGACCCCTCTCTCAAGGAGGGGAAGAACGAAAAAATAATGACCTACGCAGGATTCGAACCTGCAATCTCTTGATCCGTAGTCAAGCGCCTTACCATTGGGCCAGCAGGCCAATTGATGTATGCTTGGGATTTATTTGAAAACATGAAGCAGGGGTTAAGTTGGTTAATGGTTGATTTGCTCTTTGCTGAGGGCTGTAGGGATGAAGTTGTTAGGATTGGGGATTGTGTTGTGTCTTGGATGACAGAGGTTCGGAAAGTCCGGCCTTACTTGAATGGATGGGGTTGGATTTGTTCCTGTGGGATTGGGTCCTTGTTATAACCGATTCTATAGGATTGTAATATGCCAGAGGGTACTCCATAATCCGTATATATCTTAGGACGGATTGGAGCATTGTTATAGATTTGTTTGCTCATAACCCCATAGCCTGCCTGAAATAGTCACACCTCTACCATCAAATTGTCACAAGTAATCAACAAAAGTGACTATCTGAATGACATCCTATCTTCTATATCTAGAAAAGATAGCTGCGGGAGCTTCGTGAACCAAAATGCAAAGATGATGTCCTTTATTAGTGGACAAGGACACATGTGTCCCAGTTATAGTACCCCCAGCAGTGGGAAGGTCTCACGTTTTGCTCACTGGGTAGATGCTCAAGGCGTTTCGATCAGCATATATCCTGCATGGTTCCGGATTGCAGTCCTATATAGATTTATATGCTGCACACGTCACAAAGTCTTCATCTAAAAAGTACCCGCATAACGTGTTGAGATAAAGTAGAACATACGCGGAGATAAAGGATACACCTGTCATCCGAAGCAAAGCCGAACCTGCAAAGGAGAATGGCCATCAGACGAGTGCTGTCTATCCACTATTTGCCCCCACCACACGTTCTCAAACCCCTTTGCCTCCTGCTCAGCCCATACTTCCTTCAGCAGGGGTATAGTAGTACCGAACATGTAATATCGAGTCCGCTCATTCCAATCCGAGCAGAGCTGGAGAATCCGCCTCCGTGATGACAGATCTCTCAACTCGCAGCCCGCAAAGAAGAGCGGCAGCAAGGCTTGCCTGGACATCATGCCCTCGTCGCGACACGCAACCACATGGTCCATAACGACTCTTGCACGGCACAAAATGTGCATTGGGATGCTACTTCCAGGTTCCCACTGAAACATTCGGTGTATGTAAAGAAGGAGACCGTTTCTCCATGCCTCGGAGCAGTGCATGCTATCTAGATCCTGCTGCAGGCTTTCCTCGTCCTGGAAAGCTGCCTCCGGGGAAACGTAATGCCAGGACTCGAGTGACCGTTCCAATTCCAAGATAACAGTGGTATCGAAGTTGACATATCGCAACGAGGATGCTTTCCGCTTCTCCGCGCCCAGGCGCGCCAATTGCATCACGATTTCCACGAGGCTTGGTGGACATCCACACAGGCTAAAATAGTCCCATTCTTGGTCATTCTGGTTCGAAACTGCGGCCTCAAAGTATGCGTAAGGGAATATGCAGTCTTCCCTGTTCACTAGACTGGTTATCGCATCCCACCTGGAAAGTCAGCATCACCCAAGACAATCAGCACGTGGGTCTATACCATGTGAGCAGACCTATCTGCACCTGTGTTCGGGCGGACGTGATCCACTTGTCGATGCCACCGTACGCCTCGACAAGGCCAAAGGCTCCCATAATATGTGTGCGCCAATTCCCCAGAGCGGACTGGGTTTCCTGTTGTCTACTTAGCGTAGCTATGTCTGATACATGAACGCGTGACTAACGTCCAACGAAAACAGGATGATAATCGTGTCAAGCATGGAATACCCCTGTCCCATGTTGCTGCATGTGGTAAGGCTTTCGCGGAGCAGTTGGAGTGCCGCATGGCGATGAACGAGGGTTGATGTACTTTCGATGTGATGGCCTGCTAAAGACATCACAGCATGGACCAGAAACATAGGCTTCATACCAAGGTCAGTGTGGTATTGGAATGGGTTCCTCCTTAGGTTGGCTGTCAAGGGAATCTTGCAAAACTCCCTATTATCTGACTCGGTTAGTATTTATGGCCAAAGCAGATAACTGCAAAGTGAGCATACATCTATCAAGGATAGGTTGGAACCGCCGAGAAAGGCTACTGTATAGTATACTCGGTGGTACAGAGGTAGGAGAGCGTAGTACGATATGTAGCTCCGAAACTGCTGCCAGGCCTGCTCCTACACAGAAAGCACCGTGGCCCATATCGCCCCCCTCAGAAGCTTGCATATGGTGGTTGGTGAGTTCAGGTGGGTACAAAGATGTACATTGTATTGCATTGCTGCGTGTATATGGGTCAGTCGTCCGGTAGAGTGCTTCCAAGTCAGAGCCTCCGTCCCCGACCAGTGCGCTATCGCTCAGGGAGTGGTGAGGCGCCCCGACAGAGGATATTATTTCTCTGGCAGCCTGATCGAAGAGAGTCCCTGGGCTGTCTGACGCAGCGGGGTGTTCAGTTGTCGAACAATGGGCCAGGGGCAGGCTGCTATCATCGGTTTTGGAGCCTGCTTCATAGCCAAGAGTAGGCTCAACACCCCCACAATACCCCCTTTGACTTCTCACTGGGTGCTCTGCTACAAACTCAAACTTCTGTGGTCCATCTGCATGTCCCAATGCTCCGAGTCTGGTCCGACGGGCTCTTGACCTTTTCACCGGCTTTCTGGACAGGGAAAATCCCGGCTGCCAGGATAGCTGCATGCCAGACATTCCATCAATACCTTGATGGGCATTACCGGATTTGAGACGGTATCCGCATCGAGGTGGCGTTATCCTCGACGATGAAGAAGAAAGTTAGGAACAGGAACAGGAGGATGCATAGTCTCGGCTTAAAGTTTGTCCTCAGGCCCCCCGGACTTTACCCCATCTGGCATCTTACCCAATCCGGACAGTTACCTCTTTGGTCTTAGTGGTCTCCACTGTTGCAGCCAATTCCGTTTAAGCTTCATATTGCCAAGACTTGTATACTCTCCTGTCAACCACCATTGTTGAAGACGCCGACGCCAGGCGCTGAGCTATTTAAGATGGTCTCTCCCGGTGGAGCCCATAAGTGGCTTATCTACTCACCTCACATCTTTCTACTATCCAGCAGCAACTTCCACAGGTGTCTGCATACTGTCATGGATGAGCTGGAAACAATCAAGCCCCCCATACCTACTGAAGGTTCGTCCACACTCACCGAGAGCTCTCAAATCTCCCAACCAGCCTAACACCAGAGCCCAGCACCATCCAACAATCCAGACATCCTAACTGTCACCTGGGATGGATCCAACGACCCCCAAGACCCCTTCAACTGGCCTCTAAACAAGAAATGGCGAGCGACCGCACTCGGCCTCACAGCCAGCTTCATCTGTTCCATGAACGGAACCATCATCACCGTCGCCCACCAAGCCATCAGCGACGAATTCCACATCTCCGACACCACCTTCCCCAATTCCTACTGGCCAACCACCTCCTGGGGCATCGGAGCAGCACTATGCCCTCTATTCCTCTTCCCCATCATGGAAGACTTCGGTATCCGACCCGTCCTCCTCAGCACATACTTTCTCTTCATCTGCCTCCTCATCCCCATCGGCCTAGCCCAAAACTTCACTACCCTAATCACTGTCCGGTTCTTCAGCGGCGGCTGCGTCCCCCTCATAAGCGACGCCGTGGCCAGCATCATATCCAACGTCTTCCACGGCGACCAAGCCAGAAGCACACCCATCAGCCTCTACGTCACAACATACCTCGTCTCAACAAGCATCGGCCCCGTAATCGGTTCCTCCATCCTCCAATACCTCTCCTGGCGTTGGATCGCCTACCTAGAATCAATCTGGACCGCCATCCTCTTCCCAATCCTCCTCATCGCCCTCCCCGAAACCCGCGAGTCCGCAATCCTACTCACCAAAGCCAAACTCCTCCGCCACGAGGGCAAACAAGCCTATACAGCATCCGAACTCAACCAAACCCCACTCCTTCAAACCATCACGACCAGCATCCAACGCCCCCTCTACATGCTCTTCACAGAACCAGTCGTCTTCATCGCCGCCCTTTGGGCCGCATTCAGTCTCGGAACCATCTACCTCTTCACTCAATCCGTCGAACAAGTCTACACAACCCTCTATAACTGGACCACAATCCAAACAGGATACATCCAAATCGCCATCGTGATCGGAGAGCTCCTCGGCTGTGTACTCTCCATCATCGTCACAAACCACTTCTCCTCCACTCCCACCCCCCACAACAAACAACCCAACCCCGAAACAAAACTCTACCCCTCCATAATCGGCGGCTTCTTTGGCGTCACTGCCGGAATGTTCGTCTACGGATGGACTTCATACCCCACTATCCACTGGATCGCACCCACTATTGGTCTGGGAATGGTAGGATTCGGAACCACCGCTGTTATCATCGGTAATGCGAATTATCTTATAGATGCGTATAGTAAGTATGCGGCCAGTGCGTTGGGAGCGGTGGGCTTGGTGGAGAATATCTCGATTGCTTTTTTGCCATTGGCTGCGACGGCCATGTACTCGGGTCTGGGGTTTCAGTGGGCGAGTTCGCTACTGGGGTTTGTGTCGTTGGGGCTGGTGGCGATGCCGTTTGTGGTTATGAGGTGGGAGGTGGAGATTAGAGCGCGAAGTCTGTTTATGAAAGAGGCGGTTATAGATCGTAGTGGGTGATGGGTGAGATGAAGAGGTTCTGAGTTGTGTTGTGATATTAAGAATTCTAGCCTCTAGTATATGCGTCGAAAACGATGAAAACCAGTCTATGCAACCAACGCCATCGCTATGCTTGAACCATCAAATAAATGACTATGTCATCCGCGGCTGGAACTTGGGGTTCGTGCGGATCCTCTCTCCATACTTGAGTAAGAAGAATGCGCTCGGGGCGAAAGCAAGCGCGATGAACCCGAGCAAGCTGTTCCCCCATCCCAGTCCCAGCGCATCATACAAGGGATCAGCCGCCAGCGGAATCGTAGCCCCAAAGATACACCGCAGAGCCAGCTCTGCAGACACCGCGCTGGCGGCGTAAAGGGTATATGAGTCGATGAGATAGACCTGGGTCACCAGGTGAACGTAGTAGATGCCCGCACCCACGAAGAAGGTCCCGGTGATGGGCACAATCCAGTGCACCCGGTATTCTGCGGCCCAGCCGTACCAGAATAGACCAATAGGGACGAGAGCACATCCTAGCACCAGAGGTGGGAGACGATCCTCCGGCTTCATTGTTCCGTGAAGCTTTTCCTGCTTCTTGAGATAGCGATCCGAGTAGTATCCCACGGTGATTTGTCCGAAGCAGAAACCGAGACCCAGTCCCAGGTAGCCGAGGCCTGCCTCGCCTGGGGTAAAGCCGTAGACGTTTTCAAAGATGCCCGTGAAGGTTGTGAATAGAATATACATGTAGCTGTAGGTGACGGAGCTGTACAGAGAAACGATCAAGACAATTGGGGATAGACAAAGGAATTTGATAGGGCGGCTGAGCGACACCCAGATGATTTGGCCCAGGGTCTTGTCGGTGTCGTATTTGGTTCGGTAGTAACGTCCAGTTTCTTTCTGAAGTTTCTTTGCTTTCCGCTGAAGCAGTGTGGGCGCATATGTCTCACGAAGAAAGATCAAGGAGGCAATGGCAATGACTCCGCCCTGGTTTCGTTAGTCCCCCGTCTGACAGGTATGCCTCGAGTTGTCAACTTACAAGAATGGCTTCAAGCCAGATGGTCCATCGCCATCCGACGTTTTGGACGATGAAGCCTCCAAAGATGGGTCCTGTGACCATACCCTGAAAATTGTTAGAATTGTTTGCCAATTGAACAACATAGCGGTAAACTTACCATCAGTGGTCCAACGGTCCAGATGGTCATCGCGGTTCCTCTCTTCTTCATTGGCATCATATCCGCAACAAATCCACCGCCGACAGTCACAGGCACAGAACTAGCTATTCCCATGACAAATCGCGAGGCAATAAGCATGCCTGTATTCACGCTGGTTGCGCAGACAACTGCTGCGATTGCAAAGAGGAAATTGGCGATGTGCGTCATAGGAAGCCTGCCGCTTATCTCCGTGAGCGGAGTCAGGACGAGAGGCCCAATGGCAGACCCCATCACGTAGATGGAGATCATGAGAGATGAGATAGATGAGTTGTGGATATTGAATTCCTGCAAAACTTCTGGGACTCCAGGAGCGAAAACAGTCGATACCATGGATCTGTGAGGGTCAGCCGGAAAGGTTCCCACGCGCACGATCTTATCGCTCAGACTCACACGTTGAAGCTGCTTATGGATATTAAGCCGATGGTGAGCCATTTCTGCACACTGGACCAGTTCATAGGATTCTGAGGATCGTTGGGTCCATTCCAGTGGACGAGACTGTCATCCTTGTCTAGAGAATCGCCTGATTCTAGTGCACTGTCTTGCAAGGTGATCTCGCCTTCTTCAATATGAACGACCTCCTTCTCCACATAGACCGTATCAGCGCTCTCCAGGCTGGTTTCCTGGCTCAGAGCGGCAGAGTAGTCGACGTCTTCGGGTGGCTCTGTAGGCATATTATTGATGTTGATGGTCACGGGATGTAGATAAAAGCAACTGAAAGACCAGAGACAGTGGCACAGATGAATTCTGACAAGATTTCAGACAGACAAGCAGCGCAATAAGTAACTTGACAGATGTGCTGGGAAGATGGCGAAATCAAGCGACGAGTAGATCGTTGGAGGCAACGCGCGTCCATACAGCAGATGAGTGTGGCATGCTGGCCCTTGCTGTCCGAACCGTGGATATTCCCTAGCTCCCCTTCTTTAATTTTTGGTTTCCTGTCGCAAAACTCATCCCGGTTGGGTCGGGGTGGGTACGATAGGAACGATCTAGCAGGGGCAGGGGCAGGGTTAAATCCAGTGACGACGGTAATGGTTCCTTGCTTGATCATTTCGCCTCTATTACTTATCAACGGTTGCCAATCGGCTGGAAATTTTGCCATGTTCCAGAGAAACTATTTCCTGGGTAGCCCATCAGGTTTCCCCACAAGACCCACAGAGCTCAGAGCACTGACCCATGCCCTTGTGTATCATTCATTGATCAACGCATCACTTGACTAGGCATCAGGGATCGAGTCAGGAGACGTATGTTGCAAGAGCTTCCGAAAAATCATTGAGGTTGATGGTTTGCATTTCGAAATAGATGAAGCAACTGCATTTGGTGCCACATGTAGTCGGATCAACCCAGCCATCTTTCAATTCCGGATCCAGTACCCACTGGTGGAGGCCTCAAAGCATGGGTCACTGATTATCTAACACGATCAAACTTTTTGAAATATACAGCCACCTGCTGAGTCAGATTGGTGTAAGGTCTAATTGGGCTGCTATTCTTCTCAGGCTCCAAGGCTGAAGGTCTTCAACTAGTTCGCAGAGCTTTGAAACACACTCGTCAGCGTCCGACGTGTTGGGCTCATACCCGAGGGCACGGCGATGGCATGTTTGGGCAAAATATGTAGATCAATGGTCCGGGTTGGCAGTCCTAGCTCTGATCCAGAAATGCTTGGTTATAGGACGACTGAACGGGCGACTCATGATAATCGGGAACTATTGAACGGAAGGCGGGAGATCTCCCGGTTGGGCCTGCGGCTGTCGCATTGGACCCGGTTGTTTCCAAATAATCTGCACTCTGTAGAACGTGTCTGCTCGGCATTCCTCCCCAGTCCGGCCGCCCACCAATCGTTCCCCATGAAATCTCTCGTTGCGGAAAGTCAAACGCGTGATACGGATCTTCAGGTCCACATCCAGCCAATATATGGGCCGACTTTGCAGACGGAGGTGCAACCAAACAGAGCTTCTCGGGAAGCTTATTCCTCGGCCGAGGTCGAGCAGTTAGAGTTTATCTGAGTTCCGTCGCCCCGGTGGTACGATTCTAGCCTGCTGGCCTCGAGGTCTGGACAGGATGCCTGCGGAAGCGTGCCCACTCTAACAGCGATCTGCCTTAGCGTGTCTAATCGATTGGTGACAAGGGGTGGGATTATTGCCTCTGGTGGGGTTGAAGCCGCGGGCTAAGAAGCTTATTCAGGGTCGAGAACTCGAGATACCAAAATTTGAGGGTTTGGTCCACTATGATACGTCGACTTTCCTGCGGAAATGCCCAGCTAATTGACTGTCACTCGGCATCTGTCAATCATCGGAATTCCGCCTTCCCAGCCTGTAAAGATCAGGGCTGCGATTGACAGGCGATCCCTCTATGGAATGCGCACCCTGCCACTTGCGGGGGCACCATGAATGGTGATTTTCGGGTGGCTAATCGGTAGGGGTTCGTGAGGGGGAGGTGGCGAGGTCGTGCCATCTCTCGTGGACCGTCTCGTGGGCATCTGTTGTGGCGTGGGAAGGTTGTCAACTACCGAGTTAGCATGCCGGCGGTTGATCATGGCACACGAGGCCATGTCACACCCCTCGTTGACAGTCGTGGTGTTTCTGGCCCGAGGATTCAATAGGAGGGGGAGATGCGGGAGATGCGGGAGATACGGAGTGAGTGGGCGATGAAACTCGACTTCACTACGACCCGTGACCGGGGCCTTCCCCGTTCCCAGCCAACATCAAACCTCCACTGCCTTGAATTTGGACTGCTTGCGCGTCTGACTTCTCTCCGGAGATTCGAATCCCGATTATTGTACAGCTCTAGCTCCGATAAAGTTGCGAGCGGTTGTCGGTGTTGTCATCCGTCTTCAGTACCATGAATTTATGGCCCGAGAGACTGAAGAATGGGATTTTCGCTGGTTTCAAATTAATAGCTTAGCTTGCCTAAGACTGTTTCACAGAGAGGAAAAGGGAGCCGCGTGAAGATCTGTTTGAGCGGGCCGGTGCTCGATCTATAATTTATATACATCGACTCCCGAGTCCACCCGAAGATCGCCAACTGCTTGCATCACGCTGTCCATGAAGCGATTACCTTCAGAATGAGGATTGAAGTATTCAATATACTCCTCTCGATCTGAACATCTAATCATGACCATCGAATTCTACTATCCATCAAGTCCCGGTGCCTAAGCGCCCTGTATACGACTTCATTTGCGAATTGATACATCGCCCTGACTTAGCATCAACACTGTGTCGGTATGTTCATAAAGATATAACGAGATGAACTCACGCAAAATACTGGAGCAGACAAGGATGTTTACTACCGGCTTTCTGAGAGTTTCATCGAACAACTCTAGGAACATACTTCTGCTAAAGCAAGATTATCGTCGGATTTCATATATAAGACATCATTCAAGAAACCGCTGGGTTGGTAGAGGTAAGCCAATGTACTTACACTTACGACTCTATTACTCACAAATTCAGCCAATGGGCCCAAACCCCAGCCTCCAGTGGAACAGAGACCTGCCCTTTCATCCTGTCCAAAACACCAGCACCATGCCAAGAGTCATGTTGGCGAAAATGCTGTCATCGCCTCGCCCAGCCAGGACAGACCAGCTCCAGACCTCGCACAATCTAACAGTATCTTTGTAATGTATGCACGATGAATAGTCATCCATGGTTGCCCAAAGAGCAGCGACACCCTCAGCCATCTTGGACCGTGTATACAGACGCCTTGTTCATGGCGGATGAAGCACGAGCCGTGCCAATTTTCTACATCATCATGAGCGGACTGCTCATGGGGCCAGGCGAAAATTTCTCTCCCTTCTCAGGGACACTAGTTCTCCATCTCCTTCATTCCTGCATCCCCACCATCTCAAATCACTCGATATCAAAAACAAAAATTAACATGTATCCATCTCTTATCCCATCACCACCTCCCTCACCACCACCACCACCACCACCACAAGGACAAGCACCAGGACAAGCGCAAGCACAAATTCAAGCGCAAGCGCAATTCCAACTCCAACTGCAACTCCAAGGGCTACCACCCTTTCCACGACCACCTCCCACACCACCACCGCAACCGCAACCGCAACCGCAACCGCAACCGCAACCGCAACCGCAACCACAACCACAACCACAACCACAACCACAACCACAACCACAACCACAACCACAACCACAACCACAACCCCAGCCTCAGCCCCAGCCTCAGCCCCAGCCCCAACCCCAACCACCTCCTCCACCTCCTCAAACCCCCCCAACGCAATCCCCCTCCTAAAACGCTCCCCCAAGCCCACTGCCTCTCCCCTAAATCTCCACGCCCAACGCAGCTCCTCACCACAAAATCAGCCATCGCAACTACAGCCAAAGAACTCCGGCAAATACGTGCGATACTCGAACCGACAATAGATTCCCAGAGCCAGACTACACAAGAACCCGGGGAGAGCAAATGCAGCTACGCAGGGGAGCGGTCAACTTAAAGGGGGGGGGAGGGAGTTTGGTTTTTGGAAAAGTTCGCTGCGAAGGGAATAGTGGTGGGAGAGTTAAAGGGGCTCGTGGAGCAGTTGGATGCGACGTGGATACAGTTGGTTGATATTGAGATCCAGAAGGGATTGTGGCTGTTGGAGATGTTGCTTGAGATACTATCAAGGTATTGATGTGAGGTGGAGACTTAAACGGGGTCTTGACGTTTGCTAGGATTGGATTCACTAATTGCTTACTGCTATCTGGTACTAAAGAGAACCAACCTAAGAGATAAAAAGATCAATAAAAAAAATATAACAAATTGCTCAAATACACAAATCAAAGTCTATAAACCTTTATAATATATACCGTAGTCCAACCAACCGCACTCACATCAAGTCATTAATTCTCAAACTCCAACCCCGACTCCCTCCTCACAGCCCCATAAACCCCCGCAATATCACCCTTCACACCCATTTCCTCCTTGACCTTCTGCAAATACTGATCCGTAACCTCCACACTCCTCAACCTAACCCCCGCCTCCCCAGCCAAACTAGCCGCATGTCTCAAATCCTTCCTCGCCAAATCCACCCCAAACAACGGCTCCTCCCGCTTATAATAATCCCCCGTGATCATCCGATCCGCGTACAGCGCAAACGGCCCAGGGAAAAACGTCTGCATGAACTGCCGATACACATCAGTGCCCAGCCCGCACTTCTCAGCCGTCACCAATCCCTCCGCCACCGTCTCCACCGTGTTCAAGATGAAGGTGTTGCCCAGGATCTTCAGCGTCGTGGCACGACCCACGTCCTCGCCTGCCATTGAGATGGTGGCCTTGGAGGTGACACCGTCCAGGAAGGGCTTGATGCGGTCGATGGAGGAGGCATCGCCGGCGGGAACGACGATGAGTTGGCCGGCGGTTGCGGCGGCGGGGGCGCCGAAGACCGGGCAGGCGATGAAGGAGGCGCCGTGGGAGGCGAGGGTGGATTGGGCTTTGCGGGAGGTGTCCGGGTGGACGGTGGAGCAGTCGACGATGATCTTGGAGGAGAGGGAGGTGGTGGGGAGGCCGGAGATGACGGCCTCGAGGGCTGCGTCGTCGCCGACGCAGATGAAGATGATGGTTGCGTTGGAGATGGCGTCCGAGAGAGAGGTGCTGAAGGTGGCTTTGTTGGCGGGGAGGCTGGAGGCGAAGGTGGTGGCCTTAGAGGCTGTGCGGTTGTAAAGTGTGATGGGTTTGGTTTGGGGTCCTTTTTCCGCAATGTTACGGGCCATGGCCTGTGTGAGGAGGGATTAGTGAGTGGGATTGATGGTGATGATGCAATGAGGGGTAGGGGAGACTTACGCGGCCGATGTTGCCCAGGCCGATCCAGGTGATGCGTTCGGAGGCCATTGTGATGATGGGGAATGTTGTGTTTGTGCGAGGAGAGGGAATTGGAAGATCCAGAGAGGAATTGGAGAGAGGATGTTGTTGGATGAGAGAAGACAAGGAGGGGAGAGGAGGCCAGTTAAATAAATATGGAGCAGGGCGAAACCGGATGCGATGCGGGGAGAGGGTTCAATGTTTAGCCGACTCGCCCGTTTCCTGGATCGAAGCGAGTTACGATCTACTAGAGACAATTGGTACAATTGCTTGCATTCGGATTGGTACAGTCTAGGTAGTCTAGAGTCTAGATGATGCTCGGACTGTCCGCCGCCCGAGGTCTCGCGCTCGCCCCTCGCTGTCTGCTCAACGCCGAAGACCGGATGCCCCGCCGCGCGACACTAAATTAATGACGCTGCGAGCTTAAGCTTCATCGGGCATGACTCAACCATCGCGTGGTTTCCACTTTGCCGCACCCAACAATCCTCCCACAGTCACCCTCCCTGCAATCGATCAATCACGAGAACGATCCGGAGGGGCCACCCAAGGCTGGTTCAACACCTCGAGGATCTTATCGTACGCAATCGCGCGCCCGTGCTTCAAAGGCAATTGCGCGGAGACATACATGGCTCGCTCGCGCATTCCCTTGGGCTCATCGCTGGCCACCACGCGGAGCAGCGCCTCGCCTAGCTCCTCTCCACTCACGACCGGCGCCGTCTTGCGACTGCCCCAGACGCCGATGCCAAGATACTCAACTCGCGCAGCGAAGTTGTATGTCTCGAACCAGACCGGGAGAACAACCTGCGGAATCGCCGCCCTGGTGAATCTCAATGTTAGCACGTCAGGATCACAGAACTACTGTCGGGGCACTTACCTGACAGCCTCATGGTAGGCATTGGCCCCGCCATGGTGCACCACGCAAGTGATATGGCCGCTCATCAGAAGAGACATGGGCTCGAACGCAAACCAGCTCTCGACACGCACGCGTTGCTCATCCAGATGAACCTGTAACATCTCGATGAGTCCTTGGCTGACGGTGACGCCTTCATCGCGTTGCAGCTTCCACAGGACCTGCATGTCGGGCTTCGCGTCTAGCAGTTTGCATACGGCCTTGCCGAACTCGGCCTGCTTCTTATCATCATAGTAGAACCGGGTACCCATGTTGATTAAAACGGTAGGACGCTGTGAGAGCCAATGGGCGATCTCGGGATCCTCCATCTCGATCAGACGGTAGGGGCGAACGATAGGGCCGCAGAGAACGACATTATCAGGTAAAGTCAGCGGGAAGTCGGTCTCCAGGCGGGCAGGGCTGATAATCGTGTTGTTGACTGCAATTTCGGGATGCACATAGGGGATAGGAATAGATCCCTCGATCCCCCGGGAATGGCGGGCTTCCTCAACGTCTTTGAAATTCTCTGAATCCTTAATGGCGCTTTCGAGGTGAATCCCCAGGTAGGCGTTGCGCAGTTTGGCCCAGCATTTCAGTGGATAGGTGAACCCAGAACCAAGCCTGTTTCAATTAGTGAACAGGTGAACTCAGTGAAGAGAGGGAAGAAATGTGGGATTACCCACATGGGATACTGCAACAGATTAGCCAGATTGGACTGGATCACTTGCTCCTTTGCCGGGTTGGGCCCCAGCAGAACATGTCGCCAATGCAAATTACGACAAACATCCACAGCCGGGACAAAGGAAGGATCAACAATAATCAGGCGAGGTATGAGCGCTTGGATGACCCCAACAATAGCATCATAAATGCTCACATATTCGACACCCGTCCAAGGCAGCAATGCCGGAGCCAACACGTTCCGATATGTTTCCAGAGCCGTGCAGAGCCCAACCTTACGAACGTCCCATCCTTCCTCAAGCTGTCCATCTCGAAAACGGGCCTGTTTCATCGAAGGTCCCGGAATCTCCTCCAGCACTGCTGCATTACGAACAGAGTCATGAGTCGCAACATGATAGTTCAGTTCCGCAATCTGCTTTTTAAGAGACCTGAAAGACCCAACATGGATCTCATAGGATGAGTTGAGCAGGAACTCATAAGCCACAGCTAAGAGAACGCTCGCCTTTCCGCGCTCGCTATTTGTTAAGAAAAGAACACAGCGCCTCTTATGCAAAGAGGTACGAGTCAGCGACGCACGTCTGGACGACATAATCACTAGTAAGTGATTGAGTGACTGAGTATGAGCGTGAGAAATCAAACGAACATCAAGAATGCTATGAAAAAATTTCAGGCAGGTAACACAAGTAACAACAGAAGAAACGGAAATGAGAAAGAAGGAACGCAGCTATAAATTACATTTCCACCCCCCCAGAAACCTCCGTGAAGCAACGTGATCAAAATAACACAAGTGAATTCAGGAGCCTCACCGGTACCTATCATGCCCATTACCGCTTTCCAGCCTATGGTGTAACCTCTTTTCACTCATTCTCCTACCGGAATATTCCTACATGGCCAGTCACCTTGAATATCAGGGATATGTGTCGCCTTGCTCTGTTTCATCTTGATTCTATCACGGCTCTAGAATACAATAGAATCATCTGTGACACCGTGGCTTGATGTATAAGTACATGTATAACATGGTACTATCGGGTACTGCAGAGTATCGAATGGAGTATGCCAAGGTGGGTTCCTGTACAGGGAAGATGTCTACCTAGAGAGGTGCAGGTTCCCGTCCTGTCTGTCACTGTCTATAATTAGCAATCATAAGTCTAGTGCTACTTAGACCATAAACTGCTTTGTTACATGCCATGTGTAGGTAAATTAGACAATAAGGCTGACTACAATTTCCTTGTGCAGTGAAAGCTCCCATTTTTTTTTTTTTTTTTTTTTTTTTTGGCTAAATGTAGTAGTATTTATTGAATGCTGCAGTCCCAGCTCTATCTATATCATTAACATTATTCTAGCTCTATTTTTGTCCCACTATGGTTGATGTAACGCCGTATATGCATGAACACTGAATAGGAAGATGAATTCCAACAACCTTTGTGGTTGGTTGAGGGGTAGCCGTTGGAGGGGCTGATTTGGTGTAGTTCAGTTGGCTTGCTTTGGCGAATCATTGTCCGCCGGCGTTCAATATCCCTGTCGCTCTCCGGGGTATGATCCTAGTGCAGGTACACCCGTACTACACTTTATGGATGACTGCCCAAACCGGTATGGGATGTTTCGGCGGAGGGACTTGGGGGCTTCTGATGTGATAGGTATCAGGAGCTCATCACGAAGACCTGGAATCTTCTCATGCCTTGACCGAGTTTTTCGGAGGACGCCCGCTGATGGTAGAGTTGCAGGTATTGACCCGGTCAATATCATACGGGTTCTCCTCATAGGTGACCGTACGAGTGATAGAATGGCCGGTCTTCCTGGAAACATGCGACGCCCGGCGCTCAGCTGCACCTCCCGAAGGACCGGTAGAAAGGCTCTCGTTATCACTAACATCGTCGTCGGATACAGTGGCTGGATCCCCCTTCTCCACGTCGGATTTTTCCTGCGGCGGGGCCTGGTTTTGTTGCATAAGTTTTTGGACGAACGCCTCTGCCTGAGCAGCATAGAGGCAGCGTTTGCGGATACGAGCGCCGTATAGATAAAGGATGATGGGAAAGGGGACACATGCAAGTGCCAGGAATGCCGGGATTGAGGAAGCCCAGTGGATACCGAGGTTGTTGAACATGTATGTTGTGAACAATGGGAATGCGAACCCGAACAGAGACCGGAGTGCCGAGTTTGCTGCCAGAACGGACGCTGAATAGATAGTATACGCATCGATGAGATAGTTGAAGACAGTCAGGAATACCAAGACCAGGCCGAAACCGAATGGCGCGCCCGCAGCCACTGAAGCTATCCAGGGGAGGGATGGGTAGTTGGTCCAGGCAAACCAGAAAAGACCGATGGGTAAGGCGATCCCTCCCACGATACATAGGGGCAGGCGGGCCTCAGGAGGCAGACGACCCTTGACTTGGCACTTTTTCGAATATTCCAGGTTGTGGGGAATAGTCAAGGCAACTGCTATCACCATTCCAACTAGGATTCCCAGAAAGGCCAAGCCTCCGATACCCTCACTCCAGCCGCGTCCTTCCTGATAGACGATAGGGTAGGCTGCAAACAGCATGTACAGTGTTCCGTAAATGATGGACATATATATACAGAGCAGAAGGACAATGGGCTCGAAGAAGAGCAGAAGCCATGGTCGTGATAGGGCGATCTTCAGGGACCTGCGCAAGGATACCTTGCCATTATCGATATCCAATTTGCTGCGGTAGACTTTGCCGCTTAATTCAGACAGTTTTGCTGCTCGCTGGCGTAAGAGAACCGGGGCATACGTCTCTGGGAGGAGAAAGCAAAGGCACAACCACAAGACACCGGACAAGGCAGCCATGAATCCCTCCACCCAGCGCCAGCCTGCATTGGCACCAAGGAATCCTCCGATGATTGGACCAATAGTAGGTCCGCAAAGCGGTGCCGCAGCGAAGAAACTGATGGCAATACCGCGTTTGGCGGCGGGGAACATGTCTGCGATCGTTCCTCCTGCATTGCCAAAAGGTGACGATCCAAAAAAGCCAGCCAGGAAGCGAAAGATGACCAGTGTTTGAATGTTCTGGGCACCAGCAGCTCCTGCATTGAATGCCGTGAAAACCGCAAAGGTCCCCATGAAAATGTTACGGCGTCCGAATACCTCACTCATCGGAGCCCACAGCAATGGGCCAAAAGCGAAGCCTAGAACGAATAGGGAGATACCTAAAATCGCAACCTCTTCCTTGCATTGGAAGTGTTTGACAACTTGACTCATGCCACCGGAGTATACTGACGATACCAAGGCCGTGGTAAGGGTCACGAAGGCGACTAGAGCGGTATACAGCCATTTCGAGAGGACTCGGAAGTTCATGGGGTTTCGAGGGTCATTGGGAATCCAGCTGACGACATAGGGGGATTCTTCTGTCCCCGACCCTTCATAGGGAAAATCAACAATCTCCGGGGTGACAACTTTTTGGTCGAGAACTAGACGCCAAAAAGGGATCTTCGAGGGCCGCGGAGCATCGCCATTGGCGACAGTACCTGCCGTGCCCATGGTGCCCGTTAATTAAGGTTCAGCACAACGGCTATCTTGGAAAATCAAAGGCTAGGCAATAGTACTAATGTGGGAAGTGACACATTGAAAGAATTTACCTCAACCTCCTCCAGCAACTCCCTGACCAGGATAAGGAATGAATAGCAGTATAAAAGCCACTCACAAATCTGTCATGAAATCCTACCGGCACGACTTTTCCGATTTCAATTTCTATTTATCATCCGGTTACTCGGCAAAGGGGCAGCCGGCTTGGCGAATCAGAATTCTAGGATGTATTTGGGAGCCGAGGTTGCTTCAGATTTTTAGCTCTTATCTCCCCCCAATCTCTGTAATTCCAGACCGGTGCTGCCCAGGCCACCAGATCTGACACAGGCATTACGCGTCCCTGTCTGGAGCCCAATGCTTTCATATATGCATAAGGGTGGCAGAACAGCATCCGTGTCGCGCTGCATCTGACTGGCCAGGGTTATTATGCCCGCGAGACTTTTGTATGCTGCCCGATGCCCTGGTCAGGGATTTATTCTAGTGTTGTCTGCCGGCCTCCTAGTTTTGAGGTGGTCGTTTCTCGTAATCGGTATTCAGATAACCAAACTTTGAATCGCGTTGCATCGAACATAGAGTCGGCATGGGCGGAAAACATAATATGCAAGCATTGAGCTTTCTCAGATCCTGTAAGCCCAGCTTTTGCGATCTACTGGCCCGTCTGGTTTTCTCTGATTAGGCTGTCAGCACCCATCTCAGGCTGAAGAAAGGACGGGCGCAAATCAAATCCGAACCAATTTGATTTTAACGACCGAAATTATGTTAAGAAGACGGGACTACAGGACTAGCACGATGCTGCAGAAAGAGACCTGTATGATAGCCCTCTTTTGGCCTTTGCTGGCAGCTGTCTGCATCTGCAGCCTCGGCGTTTTGGAAATCATTTGGCGATCTTTTTCATGCACCGTTTCCTCGAAACTTCTTCGTGTGCCACACATGTTGAGTAGTGGTTGGTTCATGAAGGACAAGAATAGAAAGTCTTCAGGGTTGATCAATCATCCTGACGAAAGTCCTGATAGCTTTAAACTGACACAAGGGATACTTGCGGCTTCACGTCCCTGTCGATTAGTGGCAGTGTGAGAGTGCTTTATAGGGAGGGACAACACGACCTCGCCATTTTGCGGGCAAGTCCGACAAAACTCAACCCCTACAGGCAAAAGCCCGAAAAGCATTCCAGAATAATTTTTGTCTCAATGAAAGACATTCGAGTAGAAGCAAGAACTCTTCATGGATGACGCTAGCAGGTATGAATCTGACTTGAGTAATGAAGAAACATGCATATCATGCTATCATAGCTTGTTTATTGAGGTTGAAAGCAGATGAAAGCTTGTGTCCGCTTTCCAGGGTGAGTTAAGGAGGAATATGGAGACTGGAGAAGCTGAAGGGGAATGCCGCCCTGACGGACCGGGATCTACGCGCACATGTACAGCGGGCATTAGCAGCCATCAGGTAATAATGATTTTTTATGTTTACTGCCGGTAGAATAAGTAAAAAGTCTGATTAACGTAATCGGTAAGCGGGTCGGCCACCTCCACCCGATTTCCACGACTAGGTGAGATTCAAGCGCCTTTATCAATAAAACAATTGCATTCTAATAGAAGAACTAATTAGTAAGTGTATTAGGACATCTAACCCTAGTATGCCCCCGAACATGACAATTAGAACACTGCGGTGGCGCGCGTACGCGTGGTCCAACTGCAGGAAGCGCTGGATCCCTAGATACAGTATCTTGAGCTTCAATGACCTGATTCTCTTGCTGAAATCGCTCCTGGCCCTCCTGGATAGAAAGGCCTTCTGCTGCAGCAAGCTGCTTAGTAGATTTTTTTTGCTTTTTAAGCTTCTTCTCATTTGCAGCTTGTAAATCATGAATTTCTTGACACGCAAGAGCTGCCTCATTTAGGGCTAATTCACTGCATTTAATAATCTTGTCCAGCCGTACCTCTAAAGAAGAGGTAGGGCTTTAGGAGCCTTCCTGCTCTTATACACATCTTTAGAGCTTTCTTCTCACTATAGATGCCTGCTTTTCGAGCTGTCTGGTGGTATAGAATATCTTAGGCACTGAATTAGTTGACTGACTGCCTGGTGGTGTTGGGATCCTTAGTTGAATATTCAACTGACTGAGCACTTGCTCTGGATCATATGGAACTAGCCCAGTAGCAGAGAAACCACTGCAGATATTGCTAGTAGTATAGGTTGCTGTACGAGCCTCAGGGAAAGCCTTAAGGAAGTCAAGCTTATCGATATGATTAAATCCAAGGCGCATTCTCTTCTCCACTAAGTATCTATATACACGCTTTAATGGTGAAAAGTAGCCAACATCCAGAGATTACAGTAAATATAAAGAATAAGCAGGCATGTAGATAAAAATTATATTATACTTATTATATATCTTGTCAAATTAAGATATTAGATGACTGCCATGGCCATTAAGAACTAGGAGACAGTATTTCCCAGTCATACGACTTGTAGTAGTAGGAATAAAGAGATTCTTAAACCAGTAAAGACTTATCTCATCATTAGTCCAGCTATTTGGACTAACTTTAATCCTCTAATCATATAATAAATTACTCTGATACCAGCTTTCTATATAAATCTTTCTCTTAAAGATAATATATGGTGAAAGGACTGTTACAGACCCCTGCTAGTCAGGTCGCTAGCGAAGCGGACTCGTCAGGCAGAAAGCGTCGACAAAGGCAACTCTCGGACAACCAGCAACTCTTATCGAGTAGAACCCCGGTCTGAGTAACACCGGGAACAGCCTAACGTCACGTGATCATCTACCATCAAGCCTACTATTGAAGATATACTCAGGATATACTGGAATCTCGGATCATGATTAGATTAATCATTGATCTATCCTGGATAATATATGATATAATATATAAAGAATAGAATATAAGAATACTCTTTTATATACTTAGCTAGTTCTATTCTTTGTGCTCAATACTACTATCTTTAAGTAACTATAAGTTTGGAAGCTTAGTGATAATACTTATCCATACTTACTTATAGATAGCTGCGCGGCACTATTCAGCCTTACTTCTCTTCTTTTGTCTAGACTAGTTGTTTCTAGATAGTTATCAGTCTGATACATCCTTAATTTAGTTCAACAGTACGTATACCAGTGAAGCTAAGCTAACAGAGACAGGGAAGCAATCCTAAGATTTGATATATTGAGTACCAGTCAGTATGAGTATTACCAGTGATAATCATCCATTATGTTAACAGTTTCAAACTCATCGCGCACCCCGCAGCAGCAGGGCCTGATAATGTAAGAACTAATAGATATGGTTAGTTAGTTACAAGAAAGCATCACTGCCTTAGAGTAATGGAACCAGTTACTCAAAGATTACTTAATAATCAAGTCTGTCAAGGTCTGACCATCGGAACTGTTTGACAGTAACCGAGCGAAGCTTAGGGCTTTCTTGACCCAGTTAGACTTATATCTCAACATGAACAGAAAGAAGCTCAGAAATAAGATTAATAAGATCTTTTTTACATTCATTCATCTGACCAAAACAGTGTTTAATTAGTTCAAGCCATATATTTACAAGTACTAAGAAAAGTTGGTAAATAATCAGGGTAATAATACTAAACAAATCTTTGCTAGTTATACCAGATTTAAGAGATGTCTTAAACAAATATTTAGAGATATTAACATAATATATAATATTAAATAAAAGTTATAATAACTTAAGCAGACTAGATCAGTATCTAAATATACTTCTAAGTTCTTACAAGTTATTAGTTATCTGGACTGGGATAAAGATACCTATATTATATAATTTAAAAAAAGACTTAAGATAGAGATTCAAGAAAAACTTATCTAGTAAAAATAATTAAACATATTGTTACAGATAATTATAATAATAGTCAAGATTAATAACAAGTTATATAAATACAACATGAAATAAAAAAAAGATTAATAGACTAGCAGGTCTATATCTTGATAAAACAATTAACAGAGCTACTGAGTTAATAACGGGAGGTTAGCACAGCCTAGAAGTCTGGAATATAATGATTCTTATAGACTAAAACTAATGGAGCTGGATGCAGCACAACATCAGACTTAACAAGACAGAGTATTTAAGAAGAAACTCAAACAGTATAAGAAGGACTGCTTGTACTTTAGCTGTGATAAAGCAGGTCATCAGTCAAAGAACTGCAAACAAAAACAGTAACAGTCTTAGAAGCAGTTGAGAGCTACATACAAAGATCAAGACAGAGAAGCCTATAATATTATCACTATTCAGCCCAAAGTTTGGACAGAACCTGCGATGCGGATATTAGATAATAAGAAGCTATATACTATATAACATGAATAACTGCTAGTATCAGAAAGCAGTATATATCAAGATTAGTTAAGATAATAGGCTAATACAGATGAGCTAACAGCACTACTAGAATAATAAAAAGATTATTAACTATCTGTACTATTTGATTAGCCCACAGAAGTTAATAATAGTAATAAGCTAGTTCTAAGAAATAAATACCCCAATATAGTTTAAAATGAGTTTAACTTGTTAGATAAAGAGTATAATACTCAGCTAAAAGATCTTAAACCTAGTAAAAAAAGACTTAGTAAGATACCTGATACCTGTCAAACCCTAGGATCGCTTCTCCCTGTTCCTGTTAGCTTAGCTCCCGTTCCAATACGTACCTTATGAACTGAATCAAAGGTAGTCAGGTTGTTGACTATCTAAAGATGACTTGATCTGAACAGAAGAAGAGAAGTAAGGCCAGATAGTGCCGCGCAGCTATCCGTAAGTAAGTGCAGACGAGTGTTGTCGCTAAGCTCTACTAAAACATAGGTTACTTAAAGACAATATGAATTGAGCACGAAGAACAGAACTAACTAAGTACATGAAGGAGTGTCCTTATATATCCGTCCCTCGTATACTACTCCGTATATCATCCCATATATCATTGATATATACCATATACCCGATCATATATCCTCTCGTATACCCGCGGTCACGTGACTCGTGACATGTAGCAGCTCAGTCCGGGTTCTGCCTGATAAGAGTTGCATCTTCTCCGAGTGTCGCTCTTCTGCCTA